GCTAGGATTACAGGTGTGAGCCACCGTGCCAGGCTGGAATATATATATATTCTTTGAGACAGTCTCGCTCTCCCCCAGGCTGGAGTACAATGGTGTGATCTTGGCTTACTGCAACTTCTGCCTCCCAGGTTCAAGCGATTCTCTTACCTCTGCCTCCCTAGCAGCTGGGACTACAGGCACATGCCATCACGCCTGGCTCATTTTTGTATTTTTAGTAGAGACAGAATTTCACCATGTAGATCAGGCTGGTCTTGAACTTCTGACCTCAAATGATCTTCCTGCCTCAGCCTCCCAAAGTGCTGGGTTACAGGCGTGAGCCACTGCACACACTGGAATATTTTTTAACAGTGTCACTACCCAGCTGAAACCCTCAAGGCCTATGGGGCCCACCCCAGCCTGACCTGGTACCTGCTCTCCTCTGATTGCATCTTCTACCATTCTTTCCATTGCTTAGTCCTCCAGCCATATTGGCCTCCCCTCTGTTCCCTGAAACCCACTACTCCTGCCTCAAGGCCTTTACAGTTGTTGTAGCCTGTCTAGAAGACTCTCCCCACAGTACCTACCCTGACTGGCTCCTCAGTATTCAAGTCTCGGTTCCAATGTCCTTTTCTGTTTATTTAAAAATTATTATTGTTTTTTGAGACAGAGTCTCCCATTGTCGCCCAGGCTGTAGTGCAGTGGCGTGATCTCGGCTCACTGCAATCTCCACCTTCTGGATTCAAGCAATTCTCCTGCCTCAGCCTCCCGAGTAGCTGGGACTACAGGCATGCGCCACCGTGCCCAGCTAATTTTTGTATTTTTAGTAGAGACCGGGTTTCACCTTGTTGACCAGGATGGTCGTGATCTCTTGACCTCGTGATCCACCCGCCTCGGCCTCCCAAAGTGCTGGGATTATAGGCATGAGCCACCGCGCCCAGCTTCTTTTTTTTTTTTTAATGAGACGAAGTTTCACTCTTGTTGCCCAGGCTGGAGGGCAATGGTGTGATCTCAGCTCACTGCAACCTCCACCTGCCAGGTTCAAGCAATTCTCCTTCCTCAGTCTCCCAAGTTGCTGGGATTACAGGCATGCTCTACCACACCCAGCTAATTTTTTGTATTTTTAGTAGAAACGGGTTTCACTGTGTTAGCCAGGCTGGTTTTGAACTCCTGACCTCAGGTGATCCACCCACCTTGGCCTCCCAGAGTGCTGGGATTACAGGTGTGAGCCATGGTGCCTGGCCAAAGGGCTTTTCTTGATAACCTAACTAAACCACTCTCCACACTGGCCCCACCAAACCTTCCTGTCACAGCTCTGCTGTCTTCACTACCCAAAATTACATTGTTAGTTTACCTCATCCATGTATTCATCAAGTATTTATTGAACTCAACTCATAGATGTTTCAGGCACTGATTTATACTCTGGGGATAAACTGGTGAACAAGATAAACAAGTTCTCCATTAATGATAGTCCCTAGTACTAGGTTAATAAATGTTTGTTGATAAATGAATGGATACAACAATCCTGGTTTTTTTTTCTTTTTCTCTCTCTCTTTTTTTTTTTTTTTTTGAGATGGAGTATTGTTCTGTCACCCAGACTGGTGTGCAGTGGTGGGATCTTGGCTTACTGCAACCTCTGGCTCCTGGGTTCAAGAGATTCTCCTGCCTCAGCCTCCAAAGTAGCTGGGATTATAGCCATGCACCACCACACCCAGCTATTTTTTTTTTTTTTTTTTTTGAGGGGGAAAGAGTCTTGCTCTGTCACCCATGGAGTGCAGTGGTGCGATCTTGGCTCACTGCAACCTCCACCTCCCCAGTTCAAGTGATTCTCTTGTCTAGCCTCCCAAGTAGCTGGGATTACAGGTGCCCGCCATCACACGCAGCTAATTTTTGTATTTTTAGTAGAGATGGGGTTTCACCATGTTGGGCAGGCTGGTCTTGAACTCCTGACCTCAGGTGATACTCCCGCTTGGGCCTCCCAAATTGCTGGGATTACAGGTGTGAGCCACAACCATCTTATAAAGAGGAGTTATTGGCCTTGTTTTCATATGAGGTCATGACTTGTGTGATGGAGCTGGATTTGAACCTGGCTTGACTTCCTTCCCAGTACTTCTCCACTTTCCCTCCTGACTTTTTTACTGCGTTCACCTATGGGCTGTTTCCTGGCTATTTCTGTTCTCTCTGCCTGGTGATCCAGGACAGAACCACTGACAGACTGGGGCCAATGTGAAGAATCCCAGGCTAGGGGAGAAGGAGGTCTGCTTTGAAGTCCATCCAGCCTTTGCAAGATTAAATGTGATCTTGGAGAGTTCACTGTGCTGCTCTGGGCTTCTGATGTCACATTGTCAGTGGGAAGAAAGTCCTTTGGAAAGTGTGGGGCTGAACATATATATGAGGGGCTGTACCACCAGCCACTGTGGTTCTACCCTGGGCATCTCCCTGGCTTCAGTCCTGGGACTGGCCCCTGCCCCTCCGGGGTGCTCTGCCCACAGCCTTGCCATCCCACAAGTAGCCCTGGGTTCTTGTCTGCCTGGCTGCTGCATGCTCTGAGCTCTTTCCCCAGGGAATTACCCTGGCCATCCAGGAGGCTTGGAGGTGGGCACCCTGCCAAGTCTAGTCTGGTGGCCCTTCCACCTACCATCTGGCAGCTGGGACCCCTGCCTTAGCTCTGGACTTGGGGGCAGGGTGAGTGATCCGCTACTGGATTTGAGTATCTTTGGTCCCCCTAGCCATACTCTGCTGGAGCAGATCACCCACAGACTCCTGGCCTCAGTGTCCTTTCTGTGCCCCTACACCCCATTTGAGGGGTGGGGTCAGCAGATGGGCGGGATCAGTAGTGAAGGTGGGAGGAGAACCTGGAGAGCAGCCCCTCCCCCTCCTCTGCCTGGAGCCGGCGCTCTGCGGCCGGGTGGAAGGGCTCGCATCCTCACAGTGCTGGCACGCCCCGCGCTCTGCTCCGGAGAGGCTGGGTGGGATAGGGAACGTCCCGAGTGGCGCCTGCAGTCATGGTGGTGTTCCTGGGCCGCCACCTCTCGGCGCTTCTAGGGCTGTTTAAGAAGAAGGGTGAGTGGGTGTGGCTTGGGGGGAGGGGAGGGATGCGCGAAGCCACCCTTTGCCAGACCCTTATGTAGAATGGGGGATCAAGGCTGGGCAAGAGTAATGGGATGGGGGCAGGAGGCTGGTAATGAGGCCAGAATCTCCCTTCCGGCTGTGCTTTTGTCCAGTCGCTTTGTTGCTGCCTTTGTCTGGGCCCTGCTTCTGGTATGGGAGGATGGATCCAGGTGTCTCTGACCTTGAAGCCTGCAGCCCTCCCTCGAAGCTTGCGTCCCTGCCGGGGTACCTGCACTTTACTGGGTATAGCCTCCCATTCAAGATGTACTAGCTTTTCCTAGTGTGCAGGGGAGGACAGGATGTGGGGAGCCCAGAAGAGAGGAAAGTAGTGCCATTGGAAGTTGGGGAGCCTGCTCAGTGAAATCCTGCCTAGAGGCCTGAGAATGAAGTTTTGGAGGGAGGGACCTGTTCCTTCTTCCTTCTCCTAGGAATTGGGCTTTCAGACCTGTATTAAGACATAGGGGCCGGAGTTTATTGGACTTTTGAGGGTGGGGGACCCCAGTCTAAGTGTGATCCAGGAGTCCCCTCTGGGAACCCGGAGTTGAGTTCAGGGTCTGCCAGACTCCTGTTGCTGGGTGACCTTAGGCCAGGCCTTTCCCCTTTGAGCCCCTTCTCCACGGGTAAACTCTGGGGATCTAGTGCATTGGTCTGGTCGGATCTGTTGGGGGGCCTCCTGGCTCTGACCTGTGGGATTCCTGCAAAGTCCCTGGGGCAGGAGCTCTGGCTGTTGACAAATGGGCTGAGGGGAAGAAAGGCTGGTTTCTGAACTGAAGACCCTGCTCCTGGGGCATGGTCCTTTAAAGGGCTTGTTTTGTTCCTGTCCCTTTATAAGGTGCTACCAAGGTCACATGACCCTCCCAGCGCTTTTGCTTATGTTGTGGGTTTCATTTAAAGCGGGGCTGGGGCTGCAAAGTGCTGACACAGTCCCCCATCCCCAGGATTAGATGGCCATCCCCTCCATGGGCGGGGCTTGTAACAGGATCCTTTGTAATGGATCCCTGGCTCCTTTGCTACTGGGGCCAGGGCCAGGGCCTCCAGGAGTGGGGGATACCTGGGACTGTTTCCCCAAGAGAGACTGGAGCTCCCTTGGGCAGGTGGAGGGGCCTGGGTCTTTCTTCTCCCCTCCCCTGCCCATCCTTCCATTAAGGTGCAGCCACATGGGTGAGTAGGGGACCCAGGAGGCCATCTCTCTGGTCTGCATCCCCCTTCCCCACCACCTAGGATTTTCTGGGAATCTGGTTGTAACTCCTGCCAGCTCCCTCTCCTTCCTAATTTTTCATGGTATCTTTTTCCTAGACCTGGGCCAAAGGGTTGCATGAAAAGGGTGGTTTGTTTTCCTGTGAAGTGGGGTTTTGGGTATGGAGGTGAGAGCAATGTATTTGCTATGGGCTATGTGTATACTGGAGATGTCTTTTGTGGGACCCTGAGTGATGTGGGAGTACATAGTTGTATATATACTTGGTTACTGTTTGTTTATATACAGAGCAGAGACTGTGGGTGTTGTATGCTTAAGTGCGGGCTGGATGTGCTCAGTGTGTGTACCTATGTGTGTTTGTATTCAGATGCTCTTTGTTTATATACGTGAACGATGTCTGTGGGTGCTGTGTACATACGCAGTAGACCTGTGTACCTGTGTGCCCTGCATGTGGTGCCTTATATGGGGCCCTTTCTGTGGTGTGGGTACTCAGATAGATGTACACTGGGGTGTAGTTTGTGTATGTATAATGGGGACTATGTGTGTTGAGTACATACTCCAGAACTGTGGGTTATGTGTCCAGACTGGGGGAAGGGGGCATTGCTTGTGCAAGGGTCGTGTGTAGTCTGGGGATCATGGATGCCCTTGCCGTGATACGTGTGCATCCCCAGGGCCCAGATGTCTTCACCTCATTTCCCTGCCTCCTCCCTCCAACTAGGCTCTGCCAAGGCTGAGAATGATAAACGTCTAAGTGTAGGGCCCAGCCAGGGTCCAGGGTCTACAGTGGATGAGCACCAGGACAATGTCTTCTTCCCCAGTGGACGACCCCCACACCTGGAAGAGCTGCACACGCAGGCCCAGGAGGGGCTCCGCTCCCTCCAACACCAAGGTAACCTTCCCTTCCCCTCCCCCACGCCCCGCTCCAGTGCTGCTCTCTCAGTTCTCAAAGTCAGGGGCCTAACCCAACATACCCTTCTGGTGTCTTCCAGAGAAACAGAAACTGAATAAGGGTGGCTGGGACCATGGAGACACCCAGAGCATCCAGGTGAGCCCTGCCTTCAGTTCAGTCCTGACTCTTCTCTCCCTGCTTGACTTCTGGCAAGAATGTCTTAGAACCTTTCGGGTCTCAGTTTCCTTCCTCTATCACAAAGGGCTATGCTAAATGACCCCTGAGGGCTAGTCCAAGGTTACTCATGCTAGGTGATGCTGATCTGTGAGTCAAAAGTTCTAGTGGGAGGCTGGGCGCTGTGGCTCATACCTGTGATCCCAGCACTTTGGGAGGCTGAGGCAGACAGATCAGTTGAGGTCAGGAGTTTGAGACCAGCCTGGCCAAGATGGTAAAATCCCACTGAACCAAAGATACAAAAATTAGCCAGCCATGGTGGGAGGTACCTATAATCCCAGCTGCTTCAGAGGCTGAGGCAGGAGAATTGCTTGAACTTGGGAGACAGAGGTTGCAGTACGCCAAGATTGCACCACTGCAGTTCTACTTGGGCAACAGAGTGAGTCTCCATCTCAAAACAAAAATAAAAACCAAAATGTTCCAGTGGGAGCCCTGAGGAACCACCCCACCCCAATCAGGGCCTGATCTTCTTCTTGCCTGATAGTCCTCCCGGACGGGGCCGGATGAAGACAACATCTCCTTCTGCAGCCAGACCACATCCTACTTGGCTGAGAGCTCCACAGCAGAGGACGCACTCTCCATCCGCTCGGAGATGATCCAGCGCAAAGGTGGATTCATGGGCAGGGGAGAGGGCATGGGTAGGGGAGAGGGATGGTGGGCACCATAGGGTCCCAGCATCGGTTTTTTTCCTCCTTATCCACTGTTTCGCCAGGCTCTTTGATTCAGTGAATTCAGAAAACACAGTACCCTGTGTCCTCTTGCATGTTCATGATATACACTGACTATAAAGCAGTTCAGAGTTAGAAAATCTTAACTGTTGGGGGCCTGGTATAACGACCTGTGAGTTGTGTGACCTTGGGAAAACCCTTAACCTCTTTGAACTTCTGTCTGATGTTTTATAAAATTGAGGATAAGTACCTTATTGGAATGAATGCCAAGTGTTTAGCATGCCAACTAACACATAATAATATGTTCACTAAATAATAAGCTATCACTAAAGGGAAATTACCGTTGTTGATTTAGTAGCCTTCCAAAAGTCTTAGGGAAAAGAAGCCTCTATCTTTGTTTAACCTAACCTTGCCCATACCTACCTGACTGCAGAAACCATTTCTTGCAGAGCTCTTATTACAGAAGCAGTGCCCTGCAGAAAGTGCCCTGAGTCCTTTTGCTCTAACAGTTTTTCTCTCCTTGGACTGGCCCCCAGGCTCCACCTTCCGACCCCATGACTCATTTCCCAAATCTGCAAAGTCTGGGCGGCGGCGGCGGGAGCGGCGGAGCACTGTGCTGGGACTCCCACAGCATGTGCAGAAGGAACTTGGTGAGCCTGGGGATAGGAGGGCAGTGGTGGTGGGTGGGGAGCCTTGGTCAACCTCTCTCTGCTGACCCCACCTCTTCCCCGTCCCTTCCAGGCCTGCGGAATGAGCGAGAAGTACCAGGCACGCCCCGGCCTCCTGGTGCGCGGGATGCTGTGCGCATCCCCACGGTGGATGGCCGCCCCCAAGGCACCTCAGGGAGGGGGGCCCGGGTGTCCCTGCAGGCGCTGGAGGCAGAAGCAGAGGCTGGCGCTGAAACAGAGGCCATGCTGCAACGCCACATTGACCGTGTCTACCGGGACGACACCTTTGTAGGCCGGTCCACAGGCGCCCGGCCCCCACCATTGACCCGGCCCATGTCCCTAGCAGTGCCTGGACTGACAGGAGGGGCAGGGCCTGCAGAGCCCCTGAGCCCAGCCATGTCCATCTCCCCCCAGGCCACCTACCTGTCGAAGCTGATACCACATGCTGTGCTGCCACCCACAGTGGATGTGGTGGCCCTGGGCCGCTGCAGCCTGCGCACACTAAGCCGCTGCAGCCTGCACTCAGCCAGCCCGGCCTCCGTCCGCTCGCTGGGGCGCTTCTCCTCGGTCTCCAGCCCACCGCCCCGCAGCCGCCATCCTTCCTCCTCCAGTGACACCTGGAGCCACTCTCAATCCTCTGACACCATTGTGTCTGATGGTTCCACCCTCTCTTCTAAGGGTGGCTCTGAGGGCCAGCCAGAGGGCTCTGTGGCCAGCAGTAGTATGGCACCCCCTGCCCAGGGAGGCAGTGGGAGGGGCTCCCCCAGTGGGGGCAGCACTGCTGAGGCTTCAGACACACTCAGCATTCGAAGCAGTGGGCAGTTGTCTGGCCGGAGTGTGTCCCTACGTAAGCTGAAGCGGCCTCCACCCCCTCCCCGCCGGACCCACTCCCTCCATCAGCGGGGCTTAGCAGTGCCTGACGGGCCCTTAGGGTTGCCCCCAAAGCCTGAGCGTAAGCAGCAGCCCCAACTGCCTCGGCCACCCCCCACTGGTGGCTCAGAAGGGGTGGGGGCAGCACCCTGTCCATCCAACCCAGCGAACAGCTGGGTGGCCTGCTTGTCTCCGGGTGGCTCCCGGCGCCCCCCACGCTCCCCAGAACGGACGCTTTCACCCTCCAGTGGATACTCTAGCCAAAGTGGTACTCCCACCCTCCCTCCCAAGGGCCTGGCAGGTGCCCCTGCTTCGCCAGGCAAGGCCCAGCCCCCTAAGCCAGAGCGTGTCATGTCGCTTCGCTCCCCTGGGGCCTCCGTGTCCTCTTCTCTCACGTCTCTGTGTTCCTCCTCCTCTGACCCAGCCCCCTCAGACCGCTCTGGGCCACAGATGTTGACCCCCCTGGGTGACAGGTTTGTCATACCTCCTCACCCCAAGGTGCCTGCCCCCTTCTCCCCACCTCCCTCCAAGCTCAAGAGCCCCAAACTAGCTGCCCCTGCTCCAGCTACCCCTGCTGTAGTTACTGCACCTGTCTCTACCACTGATGCAGGTCCTCAGTCCCCTTCCACTCCCCAGACATCCTTGACCCGACTGCAGGAGTCTCCCATCGTCTCCAAAGACCAGTCGCCCCCACCATCCCCACCCCCATCTTATCATCCACCCCCACCACCCACTAAGAAGCCAGAGGTGGTTGTGGAGGCGCCATCTGCACCAGAGACTGCCGAGGAGCCCCTCCAAGATCCCAACTGGCCCCCACCTCCACCCCCTACCCCTGAGGAGCAGGACCTGTCCATGGCTGACTTCCCTCCACCTGAGGAGGCCTTTTTCTCTGTGGCCAGCCCTGAGCCTGCAGTCCCTTCAGGCTCCCCAGAGCTTGTCAGCTCCCTGGCTGCTTCATCCTCCTCAGCTACTGCTTCGAAGAGTCAGCCCCCGGGTAGCTCAGACCCTCCTCCAGCTCCACCAGCCCCAGCTCCTGCTAGTTCTGCTCCGGGGCTTGTGGCCAAGCTCCCTCAGAAGGAACCAGTGGGCAGCAGCAAGAGCGGCGGGCCTCCCAGGGAGGACACGGGTACACCCCTGGTCACACCCTCGCTCCTGCAGATGGTGCGGCTGCGCTCCGTGGGTGCTCCAGCAGGGGTTCCCACCCCGGCACTGGGGCCCTCAGCCCCCCAGAAGCCACTACGAAGGGCCCTGTCAGGGCGGGCCAGCCCGGTGCCTGCCCTCTCCTCAGGGCTCCATGCTGCCGTCCGACTCAAGGCCTCCAGCCTGGCTGCCAGCGAGGGCCTCTCAAGTGCCCAGCCCAATGGACCACCTGAGGCAGAGCCACGGCCTCCTCAGTCCCCTGCCTTGATGGCCAGCTTCATCTTCTCCAAGGGCACTAAGAAGCTGCAGCTGGAGCGGCCTGTGTCCCCCGAGACCCAGGCTGACCTCCAGCGGAATCTGGTGGCTGAACTCCGGAGCATCTCAGAACAGCGGCCATCCCAGGCCCCAAAGAAGTCACCTAAGGCTCCCCCGCCTGTGGCCCGCAAGCCACCTGTGGCAGTCCCTCCACCCGCGTCCCCCAGTTACACTCGAGCTGAGCCCCTTACTGCTCCTCCCACCAACGGGCTCCCTCACACCCAGGACAGGACTAAGGGGGAGCTGGCGGAGAATGGAGGTGTCGTGCAGCTGGTGGGCCCAGAGGAGAAGATGGGCCTCCCAGGCTCAGGTACAGTGGGCAGTGCCGGGGTGGGGTCCCATTGCTGATGCAGGAAAGTAGGAATCTGATGACCTGCCAGGGGGGATTTGCTCTTGGATCTTTAACTTTTCTGGTCTGAGGATGTGTGGGAAGGGTGAGCTGTCACCCTTGCTGGGCCCCAGAGGAGAATGGTGTGTGAGCCTGAGGCCTACTGTGTTAGAATTCCAACTTTGCCCCTTTCCCTACCCTTCCTAGCTGCAATGTAAAGTGTGGGGCAGTGACACCTATTATAGTGTCAGAACATTTGTAAGGTGTCCAGCCCAGTGCTTCGGGCACAGTAAGTCAAAGGGTTAAGAAGGTTGGGTGAAGGTATGCCTTGTTTGGGCTCCTCGTGCCAGAACCAAGCCAAGAGGCCCCTTGCTAAGTGTCCCTTTTTCTCCCCTAGACTCACAGAAGGAGCTGGCCTGACCACCAGGCACCTCATTGGCACTGCTGACCCATCCCAGAAACACAATCTCAGGGACCCGAGCAGCTCCAAGGACGAGGATACAGCAGACACAACCTAATAGAGAGGGCGCCTGCAGCCTTAACCTCCACGGCCTTCGATACTTATGCAAGCCTGGTGTTGCTCCTGTCCTCCGAATCATCCCGAGCTCATGCCTTTTCCCAAATGGGTTCACCTCCGGCAGTAGCCGCTTCAGTCTTGGCCTTAGCCTCATTTTGAAGGAGGTAGCTGGTGGGAGAGGGTGGCTGCGCCCCCTGCTGGCCCTGAGGTCTCAGAGTTGGGAGCAGGACACCTTACCTGAGTTTCATTTTTTTTTCATGTCCAAACCATGCACATACTATAGTCCAGAATCAAAGCACTTTTGAAAGTGGCTGCATGGCCATCCTCCAGGGCCCAGGAAGCTGCATTCCAAGGGCCTGTTTACATAGCAGTGGAATCCATTCCCGGCAGTCAGCCCATAGCTTGGGACCAGTCTGCCCCCCTCCCCAATCCAGTTTACTCCTCTTGGTTCTTGGAGGTGGCCAAGTCATTGTGTTCCCACAGGCTTCCCTAGGCTGGGGGCAGGGGTGGGGCTGTAGAATTCCAAAGCACAAAAGGTGCAGAGGGGACTAGCCTTCCTGTGCCTCAACTTACCAACCAACCCCCTGCCTTCCAGTTCTGCCAGGTGCTCCATGCCAGGGACAAGTAGGAGACTGCCAGGGCCCAAAGAGATGGGTGAGCAGAGCAGTAGAGTCACCTTGGGGCACTTGGCAGTGTCAAGCACCTGCCCCTTGCCTCCTTGAGCACGCTGGGGTGGGTGGGCACCCAGCAGTTCAGAGGCAGGAGCCTTTGGGCTGAGCAAGCACCGAGAAGGTGGATGGAAGGGAGCACCTGGTGGCAGAGAGCTTCCTTGGGCAGTGCGCCCAGGCCTGGCCCTCTGGACTTCATTCTCTGACCTTTCTACTCATTTTGGTGCATGTCCTTTCTGCAGCTGCCTTTCAGCACATGTGGTTCCACTGCAGGGAGCTGACGCTGAGTGACAAGGATGGGAAGCCACAGGTGCATTTTACTCGTCTTCCCTAGTCAGTGAAGGGCATCCAGTGCTCTAGGGCAGGCTGGGTGGTGGTCCCCTAGGTATCAGGCTCTCCTACCACACCCTCCCCCAGGAATGTTAACCTTTCTGTTTTCAGCCTGTGCCACCTGTCTAGGCAAGCTGGCTTCCCCATTGGCCCCTGTGGCTCCACAGCAGCGTAGCTGCCCCGCAGGGCGACCCCTTCTTTCTTGATCCTCTTTCTTCAACAGTGACTTGGGCTTGAATCTGGCAAGGAACCCTGCTTTTAGCTTCACCACCAGGGAGAGAGATTGACATGACCCCCACCCCCGCTCACCAAGAGCTGGGAACAGAGGGGATGTGGTGAGACCCAGGTTCCTCTGGCCCTCTCCAGGGCTTTTTCAGCTTGTCACTACTGTCTTCTCCCTGTAGCTAATCTAATCAACCAATGTCCTTCCCTTGCTTGTGGGCAGTGGAGAGTGCTGCTGGGTGTATGCTGCACCTGCCCACTGAGTTGGGGAAAGAGGATAATCAGTGAGCACTGTTCTGCCCAGAGCTCACCCCCTAGGATCCACGACTGAGTCAAAGCTGCATGAAACCAGGCCCTGCCAGCAAACTAGGACCCGCTGGAGGCAGGAGGGAGCCTGATGTCTGTCTCCGTCCCTCCCCTCCTCCAACGTTACTGGAACTCTATCTTGTTAGGATCTTCTGAGCTTGTTTCACTGCTGGGTGGGACAGAGGACAGGGGAAGGGAGGGTCTAGAAGAGGCAACCCTTCTTTGTCCTCTGGGGTAAATAAGCTTGACCTAGAGCAAATGGAGACCAAAAGCCTCTGATTTTTAATTTCCATAAAATGTTAGAAGTATATATATACATATATATATTTCTTTAAATTTTTGAGTCTTTGATATGTCTAAATAAAAAAATCCATTCCCTCTGCCCTGAAGCCTGAGTGAGACACATGAAAAAAAACTGTGTTTCATTTTAAAGGTGTTAATTAAATGATTGAAACTTGGCTGTGGCTGCTGCTGCTTAATGGGGGAGGGACAGGGCAGTGGTCTGGGCCCACATTTAGAAGGGAAAATGTTTTGCCTGCTGTACATATTGGACCCAAGTGTGGGCCTCTTCTGCTTACTACTACCAAAGGGACAGTCAAGGTGTCTCGTCCATCCTGCGCCACCCAAGCCCCTATTACAGGGTCAAGAAACCCCAGGCTAGGTGAGGGGCCAGCAGCTGCCTCACACTTGTGTTCTCTCCTGAGATGGTCTAGCTCATAGGCCACATCCAGACACCCTTGTTCAGACATTTTATTTGAATTTATGACAGTGATGGGGATTTGACTGAGATGGCTTATGAAGAAGTATCCTACCCTCTCTGAAGACAGAATCACTCTCTGCCATCCAGCATGCAGCTGGTTTAGGGAGTGTCCCAGCCTAGCTGGACCAAGGGAAATTCCAGGAGCCATGGGGCAGGCCCTGCCCCCCCAGTGCCAAGCCTCAGGCTAAGCAGACATCAGGAAAGCTGCCAACCACTTGGTAGACCACTAGGTTCTGTTTTCCCTTCCCTTTCCTTTTCAAATCCCACAATTTCCTGCTGGAGAGAAGCTGTAATTAGCCCAGTCTGGGTACTAGAGCCCAGGTAGAGGTGCAACTGCTGGGATAACTCCAAGAAAACCTGGGCACCAATATTTTTCCAATTACAAGGACTGTGGCATAAATTTTTAAATGAGTTATATCGAAAACAGATACCTCAAGTCAGCTGTCAAGGGAAAAAGGTAGGGCTGGACTCCCTGCTGCTGCCCAGCCCTTGTTAGGGGTCAGTCTCTCACTGCAGCCAGACCGGAAGATCCTGGGTTCTGGGGAGGGTGAGCTAGCTGCCCCTTACTGAGTTCTGCACCTAATAAACAGTCCAAACCTGCTGCTTCCATGTCCTGAAAGATGGGTAAACAGGGATGGAGCAGACTGAAGACACAGATCAGCAGACTGATGGATGGAGCAGACTGAAGACAGCAGATGACTCAGTGGTGGGAAAAGGGAGGAAGACACTGGGCTGGCTAGCTAATGTTCCCCCCTTTCAGCGATTTACAGGAAATGGACCCCAGCTTGGTCATGAAGTTGGTTTGCTTCCACTGTGCGATGCACTCCTCAGAAATTTTAAAGTCAGCCTGGACAAGATAACAAAAGAGATTTTAATGATGGTGGTGGGACTACAAGAAAACTCTTATATACCAGCAGGGTAAGCTGGCTCAGCTTTTCTAAGAGATGCTTGTCAAAAGCTTTCACGTTCATATCTTTTGACTCAAGTAAGTTCATTTTAGGGAAGTTTAAGAATATAATCCTAAGTGTAAAGGCCTATGTACCAAGACATCTGTCACATCATTCTAATAGTAAAAAAAGCTCAGAATAACCTTAATGTCTAGTAAGAGTTCAGATTTTGATAATTATGGTAGAATACTATACAGTGCAGCCCCCTTCAACGTTTCAAGAAGATGGGGAAACTTTTCATGCATAAAGATAAATTTAAAAATCATTCCCAGCACTTTGAGAGGCCAAAGTGGGTGGATCATCTAAGATCAGGAGTTTGAGACAAGCCTAGCCAACATGCACTCTAGCCTGGGCGACAGAGCAAGACTTTGTCTTGGAAAAAAAAAAATCATGGCCAGGTACAGTAGTAGCTCATGCCTATAATTCCAGTGCTTTGTGAGGCCAAGGCGGGAGAATCACTTGAGTCCAGGAGGTTTACAGGCTTGAGGTTACAGGGAGCTATGATGGTACCACTGTAATCCAGCTCAGGTGACAGAGTGAGACACTGTTTCTAATTAATAAACAGATTATCCCTCCTAGCATAGCAAAAGACCAGAAGGAAATAATCACTAATGACATTCTTTAGTATCTCTAGGTGGCGGAACTAGGATATTTTGTTTTATTCATTTTTCTCCTATATTTTAGACATTTTTTACTATAAAAATTTATTTTATATAAAAAAAGAGAGATTCACAAAGTGAGACTAGAAAACCAGGAAAGGAGGGAGTGGGCAAAGCAAATGGCCTCATGCAGGAGGATAGAGAGTGGAAACTACTCTCAATGTCCTCCAGAAGCACTCATATAACTAAGGAAATACGGTATTAACTAGAAAGAGTCACATGATTGTTAGTTCCACAAGGAGAGTCAACTCCTGCTGCTTTATTCACTGATGTAGCCCAAGCACCCAGAACAGCGCCTGACACCTACATTATGGACTCGGTATTTGTTAAATGAATGAATGAATAAATTCAGGGATGGCTGCGGCAGGTCAGATCTTCACTGTCCAGAAGGCAAGGAGACAATGAGTGCTCTAAACTCAAGGTGGGCAGGAGAGACCCTGGGAGGGTTCTGATCCTGGCCTCATCATTTCTTTCTTTTTTGAGATGGACTTTTGCACAGTTGCCAGGCTGGAGTGCAATGGTGCAATCTTGGCTCACTGCAACCTCCACCACCCAGGTTCAAGCGATTCTCCTGCCTCAGCCTCTTGCCTGATTGCAGGCACCCACCACCATGCCCAGCTTTTTTTGTATTTTTAGTAGAGACAAGATTTTACCATGTTGGCCAGGCTGGTCTTGAACTCCTGACTTCAGGTGATCTGCCTGCCTTGGCCTCCCAAAGTGCTGGGATTACGGGTGTTAGTCACCGTGCCCGGCTGTGGCCTCATAATTTCTGATGACATTATGTGGCCTTGTCAGGTATCTTGCCAGGTAAAATCTCCTATCACAGACTGAAGATCAAATGAAGAAATGTCTGAAGTCCCTCACACAGGAACTTAAATGATCTGTCAGAGATGCGAAGTCCTAAGACCCCCATGTTCCTCAGGAACCTTGAATTCAGAAAGGTCTGGAGAGAAGGAGGAAGAGAGGGGCTCAAATGCAGGAACTCCCAACTGGGAGAGGGGCAGCTATGGCTTCAGGAGTAGGACAGTCTGGGGACACAGTCCAGGCAGCCCAGCCAATAAGGGGAATTACAGCTGTTTACCTGCAACTTCTCAAAGACCTTCTTCTTGGGCTTGAGCTCCTCATCTGGTTGGCCCTTTTCATAGCCCTTCACAAACACTCGCTCACCAGGAGCAGAGCCTGCCGGAGGGTCCAGAGGTTCAACCTGGCGGTTTATCCCTTCTCTGGGAAGACACACAGGACAAGGGAAGGGTGAGGCTATGGATGGCTTCCAGTAACTGTGGAGGCCAAAGCAATCCCAGCCTTTACACCGGGGCCCTAATGGGATTTAGGGCATCCTTCGTATCAGAGCCCCAGGAGGTCCTCTTATCTTGCTACATCTCTGCATATCATCAGGGTTAGAGTAACCCAGGATATACAAAAATCCTGTGTCAGGAGAGATACCAAAATCTGTGTTTCTACGGGAAGAAGTATAAAATAGCACAGCAAGGACTTTATAGCCATCAGAACTGGGATTAGAATCTCTGCGCCACTCCTTACTAGTAGTAAGACTTGGGCATGTACTGCTTTGAGTCCTCCATTTCTATTTTAACAAAATTATCTATAGGTAAAATGCTTCATTGACAGTACTTGTACGATAAGTCCTTCATGCATCAACTTTTGGCATTAGCAAGGAAGAGGCACGTCTTCTCAGAGCTTCTACCTGGCGTGTGGAAGGACATCAGATGGGATGATTCCCCACTCTTCCTGGCCTCCCCAGGTTCTGTGCCCCACCCCAAGTCCTCACTCACATAGAAGCACACAGAAGCATGCCTTGGGACTCGACTCCTCTCATCTTCTGGGGTTTCAGGTTGCACAGCACCACTACCAGCCTGTCCTGCAGCTCCTCCTTGGGCACAAACTGTACCAGGCCGCTCACCACAGTCCGTGGTTCAGCTTCCCCCACGTCAATCTTCTCCACATACAGGCTGTCTGCATCTGGGTGCTGCCAACAAGAGATGTCAGGAGGAAGAGGATCATCATCAATTAGAGGAGCAGCCTGGTGAACTCTTGGATTCCAGTAAGGAATGTCCCACTCTTTATAGAGGCCGCTGGAAGGACCCTCTAGAGCTAACTTTCTTTCCAGGTCCCAGATAGCAGACAGGAGAACGGGCTCTGAAGGTATATTCTGCTCTCAACTGAGGCCAGATTTGACTAAAATGGACCTAGAAGCTTGGGTAAGAGGTGGAAGGATATTTAATAGAGATGAAATGGCCCAGACTGTCTAGATGGCTACCATTACAGTGCACATGCAGTACCACATAGGTCCTAGGTGGGCTGGGAGATGGGAGGGGCACAACTGCTGGCCTTGCCATCTGATGCAGGTGCATCAGCATTGATCTCAGGGTAGTTTTGGTGGTTGGGGTATACAGTGAAAAGCAAACCAATGCTCAAGGGAAAAGAAGCCCAGAACAATGGGTCCAGGCCACTGGGTGTAAAATCTTCTGTCTCTGGGAAAAAGGAAATCTTCCCTCCACCACTTTCTGAAGGGGGCCAAGTGGCCTGTTCAAGATAAGGCCTGTAGCTAGACCAGGCAGGCTGGCAGAGACCAGGTGAGTCCATCAGACCGAATTTAACAGACAAACATGTTAAACATCTGCACCCTCTGCTGAGTTCCTGGCTGTGTTTGGTTGCGTAATGTCCACAGGCAACAATCACAACAGAAAGCCTGCTGCCTGGAATTAGACACCTGCACTCTGACTTGCAATATGACCTCAGGATGTTACTTCCCATCTCCAGGCCACGTTTCCTCCAGATGGAAACAGACAAACCTGACCCAATCTGCTTCTCTGCAATGTGATAAAAAATGAGTACCTTCTCCACAGTGATGATTTTCCCCACACGGATATCCAGCCGGGATGGGATGACCTCCTCTGGTTCTGAATTCTTGGCAGGGCCTTTGGCCATTGACTCTGGGAATGAGAAGAACCCCATGAGGTAGAATTCTTCCCCATGGCAGGTCAGCTGCTGATCCCACCATGTGAAGACACTGAGATTAGGTAAGATTTAGTGTAGAATCCTGAGTCTAAACACTGAGTTATAGTTTCTTTATTTTATTTTTTATTTTTTTGAGATGGAGTTTCGCTCTCATTACCCAGGCTGGAGTGCCATGGCATGATCTCGGCTCACTGCAACCTCCGCCTTCTGGGTTCAAGCAATTCTCCTGCCTCAGCCTCCCAAGTAGCTGGGACTAGAGGCATGCACCATCATGCCCAGCTAAGTTTTATATTTTTAGTAGAGACAGGGTTTCACCATGTTGACCAGGATGGTCTTGATCTCTTGACCTCGTGATCCACCCGCCTCAGCCTCCCAAAGTGCTGGGATTATAGGTGTGATCCACTGCACCAGGCCGAGTTACAGTTTCTTTAATACTGGATTGGCAACCCATCAGACATGACATACCTGATTTTCATCTATTCTCTCCCTCAATTATTAGACTAGAGAGGAGGGAGCAGTGGTAGCTTTGCCTCCTTTAGGTATTTCCATTCATGAATTTCATATAGAATTTATTGAGTCTGGCCAGGGGCTGTGGCTCACACTTACAATTCTAGCACTTTGGGAGGCTGAGGGGGGAGGACTGCTTAAGCCTAGGAGTTTAAGACCAGTCTGGGCAACAGAGCAAGACCCTGTTCTTGAAAAATTAAAACAAACAAAACAAAACAAAACATAATTTACTGTTTTTTTCTGGAAGGGTCACATGAAGCTATCAATGCCAATATCTCAGCATCATGCATATCTGGATAGCCAACTAAGAGCAAGGTCCATGCATATAGAAGGAAATGGGGAGAATCTAAAGATAAGCTTCTCTCTTTTTTTTTTTGAGATGGAGTTTCACTCTTGTTGCCAGGCTGGAGTGCAATGGCATGATCTCGGCTCACTGCAACCTCTGCCTCCCAGGTCCAAGCCATTCTGCTGCCTGCCTCAGCCTCCCAAGTAGCTGGGATTACAGGCATGTGCCACCACGCCCAGCTAATTTTTTGTATTTTTAGTAGAGACAAGGTTTCTCCATGCTGGTCAGGCTGGTCTCGAACTCCTGACCTCAGGTGATACTCCTGCCTCAGCCTCCCAAAGTGTTGGAATTACAGGTGTGAGTCACTGCGCCCAGCAAGATAAGCTTCTATAAGCTCTGTAGGCTCTGCCCAAGCAGCTGTGTAAGAGACTACTGATATCCTATATACCAGATGGATATAACAGATCTAACCCAATCTCTATCATTTTTTTTTTTTTTGAGACAGTCTCATTCTGTTGTCCAAGCTGGAGTGCAGCCTCAACTTCCCCATGCTCAGGTGGTCCTCTGACCTCAGCCTCCTGAGTGGCTGGGACTACAGGCATGTGCTACTATGCCCGGCTAAATTTTTTTTTTCTGGGTAGAGACTGAGTTTTGGTCTCTTAACTTTTGGGCTCAAGTGATGCATCTGCTTCAGCCTTCCAAAGTGTTAAGATTACAGGTGTGAGTCAGTGTATCTGGCCCCAGTCACTATCTTTGTTTTTTATTTTTTGAGACAGAGTCTTACTCTGTCACCCAGGCTGGAGTGCAGTGTTGTGATCTCAGCTCAATGCAACCTCCACCTCCCAGGTTCAAGCGATTCTCCTGCCTCAGCCTCCCGAGTTGCTGGGACTACAGGCACACGCCACCACATACAGCTAATTTTTGTATTTTCAGTAGAGATGAGGTTTCACCATGTTGGCCAGGATGGTCTCGATCTCCTGACCTCATGATCCACTCGCCTCGGCCTCCCAAAGTGCTGGGATTATAGGTGTGAGCCACTGTGCCCGGCCCCCAATCACTATCTTTAATAAAGAGGCAGATTTAGCAAACAAACTAGAAGGACCAAAGTCCTTACACCAGCAGCTCTCAGCAGTGCTGGTACAAAAGGATGTGATCACTTCCTTGTGTTAACCAAACCCAAATAAAAATGACTCAAGTTCCATTCTAGGAGCCAGTAGGACGTGACTTTCCTGCACTTCAGATCCCCTGGGTTCTTGTGCCCTCAAATTTAAGACAGGCATTTTTCCAAGGCTCATTGACAAGATCTCTCTCCTGACAATGTCAATCCCTCTCTAGCTGGCCTTACTCTGCTTTGAGGGATCTGGGTAGGCAGCGCTGGCCAGTTTCTTCAGGGCAGGAGTATTAAACTTTTCCCGGATTGGATCTAGCAACTTGTTCAGCGCAACTTCAACAGAATTCTTCAGGTCTCCAGGATGTACAACCTGCAGAATCAAACAAGACCTAGTGAGATGAGGTCTAGAACAGGGCACAGGACACCTGAATCCAAGTAAGTAGGATCAAGATAGTTTTTCCCAGCAGTATTTTTTATTTTTATTTTTTGAGACGGAGTTTTGCTCTTGTTACCTAGGCTGAAGTGCAATGGCACGATCTCGGCTCACCGCAACCTCTGCCTCCTGGGTTCAAGCAATTCTCCTACCTCAGCCTCCCGAGCAGCTGGGATTACAGGCACACACCACCATGCCCAGCTAATTTTTGTATTTTTAGTAGAGACGGGGTTTCACCATGTTGACCGGGATGGTCTCGATCTTTTGACCTCATGATCCACCCGCCTCGGCCTCCCAATGGGCTGGGATTATAGGTGTGAGCCACCGTGCCTGGCCTTCCCAGCAGTTTTTTTTTTTTTTTTTTTTTTGAGATGGAGTTTCGCTTTTGTTACCCAGGCTGGAGTGCAATGGCGTGATCTTGGCTCATCACAACCTCTGCCTCCTGGGTTCAGGCAATTCTCCTGCCGCAGCCTCCTGAGTAGCTGGGATTATGGGCATGAACCACCAAGCCCAGCTAATTTTTTGTATTTTTAGTAGAGACAGGGTTTCACCATGTTGACCAGGATGGTCTCGATTTCTTTACCTCGTGATCCGCCTGCCTTGGCCTCCCAAAGTGCTGGGATTACAGGCATGAGCCACTGCGCCTGGCCACAGTTGGCTTTGTTATTTACAAAGTGAGGCTAACAATAGCTGTATCTCACAGGATGGGGATGAGGGTTAAAACACTGAATGTGGGTGAAAATGATGAGAACACTGCTTGTATACGGTAATAGTTCAGTAATTTCATTTTATTCCTTGTGTCCTGTGACTGCCCCCCTACCACCTTCTTTTTTGAGACAGAGTCTCGCTCTGTCGCCTAGGCTGGAGTGCAGTGGCATGATTTTGGCTCACTGCAACCTCCACCTCCTGGGTTCAAGCAATTCTCCTGCCTCAGCCTCCTGAATAGCAGGACTACAGGTGCACACTGCCACACCTGGCTAGTTTTTTGTATTTTAGTAGAGATGAGGTTTCACCGTGTTGCCCAGGCTGCTCGCCAACTCCTGAGCTCAGGCAATCCACCCGCCTCGGCCTCCCAAAATGGTGGGATTATAGACGTGAGCCACCATGCCCAGCCAACTGCCCTTTTTTTATATCTCAAATCTGGTATTAAAGAATCTTGTAGATATTCTGAGGGGACATCTTTTAGGAATGAACACTTTCAATACAACAATGCCAACATTTTTGCTTCTGATTTCCTTAGGAATATTGAATTTTAATAAAAGCTCTAGGGTTGCCGCTGTCAAATATGGTGGCTACTAGCCTTGTGTGGGTATTTAAATGTAAACTAAAATTCAGTTCTTCAGCTGTACATGCCACACTGTAAGTGCTCAACAGCTTACGTGGCTTCTGTGTCAGGAGTACAGATAGGACGTATGCATCACCACAGAAAGTACTGTTGGATAACATGGCTGCAGACCTTTTTTCTGAGGCATTTCATCTATTCCTAATTCCCACAAAATACTTTTTCATTTCGGGGACATGGTTTCGCTCTGTCACACAGCTGGAGTCCAGTGACGCAATCACGGCTCACTGCAGCTTTGATCTCCTGAGCTCAAGTGATCCTCCCACCTCGGCCTTCCAAGTAGCTGGGACTACAGGCATGTGCCATTATGGCTGGCCAATATTTTGATTTTTTTTTGTGTAGAGATGGAGTCTCACTATGTTGCCCAGGCTGGTCTTGAACTCCTGAACTCAAGCAATTCTCCTCCCAAAGTGCTGAAATTACAGGGCATGAGCCACCAGGTCTGGTCAGACATTAACATTTTGAACAGCCCCATTAAATTGGTTGGACCTGAATTCAGAGTCAATCACAATACCCCCATTTCATTCCCTATATTATTATGTCTTTCCTTTGTGACCTGGCCTTGCCTCTCTCTCCCGTAATCCCCCCTCCTCACGTTTTAGACTCTTAAGTGAGACCAAACCACCTGCGATTCCTCGTACGTCATGCTGTTTCATCCTACCATGTCTTTGTACAATTTCTTCCCTCACAGATTTCCTTGTGAACTCCTATTCCTCAAGCAAAATAGTACTTAGTTTCCTCCACAAGCTTTTCTAGAGAGTCAATCACTTACACACACACACACACACACACACATATATATATATTTTTTTTTTTTTGAGATGGAGTCTCACTCTGTGGCCCAGGCTGGAGTGCAATAGTGTGATCTTCGCTCACTACAACCTCCACCTCCCAGGTTCAAGCAATTCTCCTGCCTCAGCCTCCCGAATAGCTGGGATTACAGGTGTGCACCACCACACCCAGCTAATTTTTGTATTTTTAGTAGATATGAGGTTTACCCATGTTGGCCAGGCTGGTCTCAAACTCCTGACCTCAAGTGATCAGCTCACCTTGGCCTCCTAAAGTACTAGGATTACAGGCGTGAGCCACCATGTCCGGCCACTTCCTTCTATATTATTTCTGGAATATATATATATATTCTTTTTGTTATATATATTCATATATATTCACATATATAGCCATATAGTATACATTTACATATATTCACCGGTCATATATATATTCACATACATACACACATGCATATATTATGTTAAAAATATATGTACATACACACATAAAACATACATATGTAAAATGCAGTCAATGAAATGTTTACAAGTCTGCCTCTCTTATTGTACTGAGCATTAGGAGGACTGACCCCCTCTATGTAATACCAGTCCCTAGCAGAGTGCCTAACACATGGGCACCTAGTAAGTCTTCTGTTAGTGTCTGTTGAAATGAATAGGAGCCTCTATTGTGTCCTTTGGTAATTGTCTCTTATTTTTCAACCCTGATTTTGTACCTGTTCCTGAAATACTTCATCTTTGCTAGGTTCGGTCCTTTATTCCAGCCTGCTGAGTCCTTTGGAGAGTGATTAAAGCACCAGTATATTAGCTTTGTACCATCTGCTCATCAAATCTGGGAACCACCTGAATCCTCACTGAAGCCATTAACAAAATATGCAGCCCCAGAGAGCATCAAGACAGAGCCCTGGCCAGGTACTGTGGTTCATGCCTGCAATCTCAGCACTTTGGGAGGCTGAGGAAGGCTGATCACCTGAGGTCAGGAGTTCAAGACCAGCCTGGCCACCATTGTGAAACCCTATCTCTACTAAAAATTACAAAAATCAGCTGGACGTGGTTGTGGCTGTCTGTAATCCCAGCTACTTGGGAGGCCGAGGAAGAATTGCTTGAACCTGGGAGGTGGAGGTTGCAATGAGCTGAGATTGTGTCACTGCCCTCCAGCCTGGGCAACAGAGCGAGACTTCATCTCAAAAAAAAAAAAAAAGCAAACAAACAACAACAACAAAAAAGCAGAGCCCTGCGGTGTAACTACAAACCTGATGGGCCAAGATGGAGAGGTCTGGCAGAGTTCAGTGGGGATTAGCTTTCTTTTTTCTTTCTTTCAGAAAAGTTAACTGACAAGAAACTTTAACCAAAACTGTAATTTTGAAGGAAAATGGACACCAGTGAGATTACCAAAAGTAGAGCAAAAATACCAGGCAGCTCAATTCTACACATATCAAGTTGTTTTAAACAAGTTTGAACAGTCAGCAGAAAAATAAGAAAATACAGATCTTCAGGAAAGGATTCCTTTTCCTTTCGTGTTACCTCAGCAGCAAAGTCCTTTTCCAGGTCCATGTAAACTGTGTAGGTTTTGTTTCCGCCCCATTTCTCATCTCGAAGGATCACAAACTCTGTAAGGAAAAGATCTGTGCCAACAAATTCACTGACAGCGGCAGAATTGGCATTCCTAGCCCAAAAGCATGACTATTTGTAGTTTTTCCCATATATTTTGAACTTTATTGTATCGTATTTTATTATTCTTAAATTGGATGAGTAGCACGATTGTATATCCAGCAAACATTTCAGCTGCTTCCTGGGAAGGCAACAAAATATGTCTATTTTGTTGTATTCCTCTAGTTCAACATGTCTGTCCCCACCCTTACTTCTAACACCTCTGCCCACCCCAGTGTTCCCTCAGAACCTAGGCTGGTAACAAATATATGGACAATTAAATGACATCTCAACATCATTCATACTTTAATATATAAGAAATCAGAGCAGAGAATCAGGGCAGCCAGTTCCTGGAAGAAGAGTCTGTGACAAATCACAAGTATGATCACAGCACGAATTTTGCTATTCTAGCCTGGCCTCTAGGAAGAAAACAGAGAGTGTTACCAGACTTCAGGGGAAAGAGGACATGCTTGATGAAGGACAGAAGCCCATTGTTCTCCACATTTCCTGGTTCACAGAAGGCCTTCTTCAATTTTTTCTTCACATCCTCTTTCCGATCAAGGAGATCAATCTTGGACTCCTAGAAGTCACGGAAGGGAAGAGACCTCTTGTGGTTGAAAATGAGTATATGCTCAACTAATACGAGTTAAATTTTGTTTTTAACTTGGAGACAGGGTCTCACTGTGTTGCCCAGTCTGGAGTGCAGTGGCACAATCATGACTCACTGTAACCTCAACCTCCTGGGCTCAAGAGATTCTCCCATCTCAGACTCCTGGATAGCTGGGACTACAGGTATGTGTCACCAAGACCAACTAATTTTTCTACTTTTTGTAGAGACAGGGTTTCATCATGTGGCCCAGGCTGGTCTCAAATTTCTGGGTCCAAGCACTTCTCCTGCCTTGGACTCCCAAAGTGCTGAGATTAAAAGCGTGAGCCACTGTGCCTAGCTAAAAAAATTCTTTTTAAAAAGATTTTAACATTAGGTACTTGGAGCTATTTTCTTGTGGAGGTGGTAAAAATAAATAAATAAAAATATTTTACTTTGGGCTGGGCACAGTGGCTCATGCCTTTAATCTTACCACTTTGGGAGGATTGCCTGAGCCCAAGAGTTCAAAACCCACGTGGGCAACATAGTAAGACCTCATCTCTACTGAAAATAAACAATTAGCTGGGTATGAAGTATGTACCTGTGGTCCCAGCTACTTGGGAGGCTGAGGCAGGAGGATCGCTTGAGCCCAGGAGGTTGAAACTGCAGCCTGGGTGACAGAGTGAAAAACCACTCACAATTTCTGCCATCTAACAAATTAAACTATTTTAATTTTTTTGTGTTCTTCTCAGGCTTTGTCTATATTGATGGGGTCTCGCTCTGTTGCCCAGGCTGGAGTGCAGTGGCATGATCATGGCCCACTGCAACCTTTGCCTCCCAGGCTCAAGCAGTCCTCCTACCCCAGCCTCCCAAGTAGCTAGAACTATTGGTGAACGCTACCACCCTAGCTAATTTTAAAAATTTTTTTGTAGAGATGGGATTTCACCATGTTGCCTAGGCTGGTCTCAAACTCCTGGACTCAAGCTATCTGCCCACCTTGACTTCCGAAAGTGCTAGGATTATAGGTGTGAGCCACCATGTGTGACCTACTTTAATAGTTTTTATGCCAAATTATAGTCCCAATTATTAGTGGAAACATAATTCAACAAATTGCAAACTGTTAGGTTCTATCCTAATTTTTACAAATTACATATATTAATGCTACACTGGACATCTTTGCAGAGTTTTTTCTTTTTTTTGCCTTTTCTAGAATCATTTCCTTAAGCTGCCCAAAATTGCTAGGTTCAAAATTGTTTTTTGAAAAAAGATATTTTAATCAACACTGCCATCAACAATGTGTGAGGATATCTGTTCACAGCAATCAGCCAAATAAGATATTATACATTATCTACAGCTGTTTTTCCTTTTTAGGTTTTGTTTCTTATTTTGGAGGGAGTGAATTCCATTTGAGTTCAGTGTTTACCAAATTCTGGCCCACATGTGTCAGTATATGAATCACCTTTTACTGGGTTCCACCTAAACCTAATGAATCAAAATTTCTTGGGGTTGGGTCAGGCTTTTTTTTTTTTTTTTTTTGAGACAGTCTCACTTTGTCTCTCAGGCTGGAGTGCAGTGGCGTGATCTCAGCTCACTGCAACCTCTGCCTCCCGGGTTCAAGAGATTCTCTAGCCTCAGCCTCCCAAGTCACTGGGACTACAGTTGCATGCCACCACGCCCGGCCAATTTGTTTTGTATTTTTAGTAGAGAAGGGGTTTCACCATCTTAGATACAATGGTCTCAATCTCCTGATTGCATGATCTGCCCACCTTGGCCTCCCAAAGTGCTGGGATTACAGGCATGAGTCACTGCACCTGGCCTTTTTTTTTTTAATTTTTATTTTTAAAAAGCTCTCCAAGTGATTCTGATTTGGGAACTACTGCTGGCTTGATTACCAGGGTGAAGATACAGCAAATATCACCAAACAGGATGAGTGATATATTTGTCAGAGGGATAAGAGACACACAATGTTTTAATGTGAAAGAAAAAGGAATGAGTATAGTTTTTAAAAATATGGTAATGGGTGAAGTTAGAAAACAACAACAACAACAAAAAGAAAAAAATATAAGAGTATACATGCATATATTCACCAATCTCTGATCAGTTTGAGATGTCATATTTAAAGAACTAGATGAGTGTGTGGATGTGATTTAAATCAGAATCACCTAGTAGGATTTGAAAGAAAATACCGATTCCCAGCCAGGCATGGTGGGTCATGCCTGTAATCCCAGCACTTTGAGAGGCTGAAGCAGGCAGATTACTTGAAGTTAGGAGTTTGAGACCAGCCTGGCCAACATGTCGAAACCCAATCTCTACTAAAAATACAAAAATAAGCTGAGTGTGTTGGCAGACACCTGTAATTCAAGCTACATGGGAAGCTGAGGCAGGAAAATCACCTGAACCTAGGAGGCAAAGGTTGCAGTGAGTTGAGATAGGACCTGGGTGACAGGCTGGGTGAAACGGTGGAAAAAAAAAAAAAAAAATGTATAAAAAAAATACAGATTCCTGAGTTCCTCCCAGAACTACTTTATCAGAATCTCTATGGACAGTGTCTATACTTTTTTTTTTTTCAATTCCCTAGATGATTCTGAAGGTAACCCATGTTTGGGAACCCAGAACTCAACTTTTCATATCTTTGGATTTCCACGCTCTAATGATCAGAACCAAAGTGAACTTTCCCGCAAGTACACAAGCTCAAGAAGAGGGACTCTTAAATGTTAAAAGACATCATAATATCAAGTATCACCCTAACAATCAAAATGCTAATTAGTGAAATGCAACCACAGTGCTCTCATTAATAAGGCTGAATTTTATCACAGTTCTATGAACAAAGACATTACTTTTGCTTGTATTTTTTATCAGCAGTAAAAACCATTGAATGATGATTAGATCTCATCCAAACTGCTCTGGATCCTTCAATACTTAAGAACCACTGAACTAACTGAATGCCGTAAGGACCCTTATAACTCAAATATTGGAGAATTCTAGTTAGCCAGGTCCCTGTTCTTTTCAGTCCTTGATCTCTCCATTGAGGCTGAAGATTTCTAAATTCAAGTCTAAGCTGGGAACTTACCTCTTCTGAAGAGCTCATTTTGCTGCCTGTTAATCCTGGAACCATAGGATTCATCAGATGGACCCGTTTTGAATAGCCAAGTGCAGGGAGGTACTGAGAGATTACAGAAACACACAAAAGCAGCTGTTAGTCTAAGTTCCTCCTCAGTGCCCTGATCTCATCTAAATTGGCTAGCAAATGAACAGTTGATATATTGCTTCCATTTCTTTTCTTTTTTTTTTTTTTTGAGACAGAGTTTTGCCCTTGTTGCCCAGGCGGGAGGGCAATGGTATGACCTCAGCTCACTGCAACCTCCACCTCCAGGTTCAAGCGATTCTCCTGCCACAGCCTCCTGAGTAGACGGGATTACAGGTGTCCGCCACCACACCTGGTTAATGTTTGTATTTTTAGTAGAGACAGGGTTTTGCCACGTTGGCCAGGCTAGTCTTGAACTCCTCACCTCAGGTGATCCACCATCTCAGCCTCCCAGAATGCTGGGATTACAGGCATGAGCCACTGCACCTGGCCCTGTTTCTAGTCTTTTTATACTGAATATGTAGTTTTTCACAATGATTGTAATTCAAGCGAATTTTTTTTCCCTACTGCTTTTCTATGAGTATTACATTGTGAGGCTATTGGACTTAATGTCACCATAAACAACAATAAAAGCTGGAAATACATAAAACAACAGGACAGCAAATCTTGAGTGAAGGGAAGTAAGGTGACTACACACTTGCCTTGGCTTTCTCACTGAGGGTATTTTTTGGCAAACCAAGTGCTGAGAAAAAGAGACCAAGTAGAGGAAACAGCTATTAGAGTTCAGGGTTGCAGGAGGCTAGGGATTGGGGGCTCACTGCAACCTCTGCCTCCCGGGTTCAAGCAATTCTCCTGCCTCAGCCTCCAGAGTAGCTGGGACTACAGGTATGCGCCACCACCCCTGGCTAATTTTTGTATTTTTTAGTAGAGATGGGGTTTCACCATGTTGGTCAGGCTGGTCTCAAATTCCTGACCTCACGATCTGCCTGCTTCAGCCTCCCAAAGTGCTGAGATTACAGGCGTGAGCCACTGCGCCCGGCCAAGACTGGATTTAACAGAAGACAGGATTAATAAACTTGAAGAAAGGTCAATAGAAAATATCCAAACTGAAGCACAGAGGGAACAAAGAAAGGAAAACCATAGAACAGAATATGAGGCATGAGTTTTTTAACCCATGTGTAGCTAAACTCTGAGAGGAGAAACAAGAGAGAAGCAGTATGTGAGGAAATCATGGCTGAGAATTTCCCAAATTTGATGAAAACAAATCCACCGATTCAAGAAGCTCAGAGAAATCTAAGCAGAATAAATACAAAGAAAACTATAGCTGAGGCCAGGCACCGTGGCTCACGCCTATAATCTCAGCACTTTGGGAGGCCAGGGCAGGAGGATCATGAGGTCAGGAGTTTGAGACCAGCCTGGCCAAAACAATGAAACCCTCTATTAAAAATACAAAAATTAGCTGGGCGTGGTGGCGGGCACCTGTAATCCCAGTTACTCAGGAGGCTGAGATAGGAGAATCATTTGAACCTGGGAGGTGGAGGTTGCAGTGGGCCGAGATTGCACCATTTCACTCCAGTCTGGGCAACAGAATAAGACTCTGTCTCAAAAAAAAAAAAGAAAAAAGAAAAGAAAAGAAAACTATAGCTGAAAACATCACAGTTAGTCAGGCACAGAAGTTCACACGTGTAATCCCTGCAATTTGAGAGGCCAAGGAAGGCAAATCATTTAAGCTCAGGAGTTTGAGATCAGCCTGGCCGACATGGTGAAACTCCATCTCCAAAAAAAAAAATTAGATAGGCGGCATGGTGACACATGCCTTTAGTCCCAGCTGCTTGGGAGGCTGAGGTGGGAGGATCACCTGAGCCCAGGAAGTTAAAACTGCAGTGAGCCAAGACCGCTCCAGCCTAGGCAGTGCAAGCAAGACCCTATCTCACAGAAACCAACAACAACAAAAACAACATAGTCAAATTGCTGGAAATCAGAGACAAAGAAAAAAGTCTTAAAAGCGTCAGAGAAAAGACATATTGTCTGTCACGGAGAAACAATAATACTTAGAAGTGACTTTTCAGTGGAAACTGTGCAAGCGAGAAGGCAATGCAATGATTCTTTAAAAGTGCTAAAAGAGGTTGAGCGTGGTGGCTCACACCTATAATACCAGCAGTTTGGAAGGCTGAGGCAGGTGGATCATGAGATCAGGAGATTGAGACCACCCTGGCTAACATGGTGAAACCCTTGTCTCTACTAAAAATACAAAAAAAATTCGCTGGGTGTGGTGGCACACGCCTGTAATCCCAGCTACTCAGGAGGCTGAGGCAGGAGAATCGCTTGAATCGGGAGGTGGAGGTTGCAGTGAGCAGAGATCACACCACTGCACTCCAGCCTGGACGACAAAGCATTGACTCTGCCTCAAAAAAAAAAAAAAAAAAAAAAATATATATATATATATATGTATGTGTATGTATGTGTATATATATATATACACATACACACACACACACACACACACATAATGTAAGCACTTCTGCTTTCATTAAATATATCAAAACACTAAGCTGGGCCAGGTCCAGTGGCTCACGCCTGTATTCCCAGCACTTTGGGAGGTTAAGGTGGGCAGATCACAAGGTCAAGAGACTGAGACCATCCTGGCTAACATGATGAAACCCCATCTCTACTAAAAATACAAAAATTAGCTGGGCGTGGTGGCATATGCCTGTAGTCCCAGCTAGTCAGGAGGCTAAGGCAGGAGAGTCCCTTGAACCCAGGAGGCGGAGGTTGCCGTGAGCCAAGATCGTGCCACTTTGTTCCAGCCTGGTGAAAGAGCAAGATTCCATCTCAAAAAAACAAACAACAACAAAAACAAACAAAACAAAACTAAGCTGGGCACAGTGGCTTGTGCCTGTAATCCCAGCACTTTGGGAGGCCAAGGCAGGAGGACTGCTTGAGCCCAGGGGTTTAAGACCTGCCTGGGCAACATAGGGAGGCCTCATCTCTACAAGTAATTTTAAAACTAGCTGAGTGCTGTGGTATGCACCTGTGGTCCCGCTACTTGGGAGGCTGAGGTGGGAGAATTGCTTTAGCCCAGGCTGTGGAGGCTGTGATGAGCTGTGACCGTACTACTGCACTCTGGCCTGGGCAACAAAAAAAGACAAGAAAAAGAAAAAGATGCAGGGAAACGTGAACCAAATGCTCTGTGAAAGGACAGTAGTTCCAACTGGTAATGAATGCCTCTCCTTGGAAACTGGGCTACTAGGAAAGAAGCAAATCCAACAGGTGTAGGAGCAGGCACATGGGCTTTGGAGTTTGAAAAATCTGGGTACTAATAATTACTTCTCGGTTACTAACTGTGTGATATTGGACAACTTTCTTATTCTTCTAGCCTAGCTTTCTCATCTGCAAAACAAGGAGGATATCTACCATACACCATGACTAATGGGACTGACACATCATCGTTCAATAAACTACAGTTGCATACCTCTGAGGTGCAAGAGAAAAAAGACAGGAAAGTGGATACTCACCTTCTCTGCAAAGGTGAAAATCTTTCTCTGATCAATGCCTCCAAATTGAGCATCTACTTTTAAATATTCTTCATCCAAAGCCTGTGGAAAGAAATATGTGAAGATAAACATCTATTTTATTTTATTAAGACAGTCTCACTCTCACCATCACCCAGGCTGGAGTGCAATGGCATGATCTCAGCTCACTGCTACCTCTGCCTCCTGGGTTGAAGCAATTCTCCTGCCTCAGCCTCCCAAGTAGCTGGGATTACAGGCATGTACCACCACGCCCGGCTAATTTTTTGTGTTTTAAGTAGAGACAGGGTTTCGCCATGTTGCCCAGGCTGGTCTTGATCTTCTGAGTTCAGGTGATTCACCCGCCTCGGCCTCCCGAAGTGCTGGGATTACAGGCATGAGCCACCATGCTCAGCCTAAACATCTACTTTACTTTTTCTATATAGGTCCGAGAAATCAGAAACTTTAGAAAATTACTAGATGTTCCAGAAGGTAAAGCCTGGGGCCAGGCACGGCGGCTCGCGCCTGCAATCCCAGTACTTTGGGAGGCCAAGGCAGGCAGATCACAAGGTCAGGAGTTTGAGACCAGCCTAGCCAATATGGTGAAACCCTGTCTCTACTAAAAATAGAAAAATCAGCTGGGTGTGGTGGTAGGCGCTTGTAGTCCTAGCTACTCAGGAGGCTGAGGCAGGAGAATTGCTTGAACCCAGGAGGCAGAGGTTGCAGTGAGCCGAGATTATGCCATTGCACTCCAGCCTGGGCGACAGAGCAAGACTCCATCTCCAAAAAAAAAAAAAAAAAGGTGAAGCCAGGAAGAAAATAAATAGCAGTCAGCCTCCTTGAGAGCTGCAAAGACAGTTGCTGAGTGCTTGAGGTAAACATTACTCCATGTGGATGTCATGGGATAAAAAAAATAAGAGTAGAGGCCCTCAGGATATGCAGAATGCTACAGGGAGGGAGAGAAGGAAAGAAACTATAGTCATGCCAAAGGCATCCTATTGAATAAGGTGGCCTGTGACAAATGACATATAAGTAGTATAAAGAAGTCCTGTAAGCACTCGGGAAAAATAGTGACTGTCCAGGTGCGGTGGCTCATGCCTGTAATCCCAACATTTTGGGCTGAAGTGGGCAGGTCACTTGAGCCGAGATGTCTCAACAAAGACAACAAACAAAAATTAATCATGATAGTGCGCATTATAGTCCCAGCTACTCGGAAGGCTGAGGTAGGAGGATCACCTAAGCCCAGAGAGGTCATAGCTGCAGTAAGCCATGATCATGCTACTGCACTCCAGCCTGGGAGACAGAGCAAGGCCCTGTCTCAAAAAATAAATACAACAGTGACTGCCACTTATGACATGCCAGGCCTGGTGCCAGCTCTGAGATAAATCAGACCCGGACTCTCCCTTCAAGAAACCCAGTTATCCAGCTGGGGAGAGACATGTAAACAGATCATTTCAACTCAGTTGCTAAGGGCTAACCTAGATGTTCATATAAGGAACAGTGTTGACATAAAAGAAAAAATTCTCTCTAATAAGATGGATGTGGGGAAGGTTTCCTAGAATCAGATGGGCTGGGCTTGGTTTTGAAGAACATATAGATGTTTTACAGCATGCAGAGGAAACAGAATGTGAGAAGGCACAGAGGTGTGAAGGGCTTAGGAAAATTTTGAGTGATTCAGACTGCATTTCCATTTTATTTATAGCCACATATGACTGGGACCACATTAGATGGTACGGACCTGGTGTTATTTTATTATTTTTTTTTTTGTTTTAAGACATGGAGTTTCATACACACAGAATAAAAGAGATGGAGTCTTGCTATGTTGCCTAGGCTGGTCTTAAACTCCTGGCCTCAAGTGATCCTCCTGCCTTAGCCTCCCAAGTACCTGGGATTATAGGCATAAACCATGGTGCCCAGCCAATAGTGCAGAACTAGCATGTCTCTGGGATTTATTGATAGATAGACAGATAAACAGATGAATAAACAGATAGATAGGGTCTCACTCTGTCACCCAGGTGGAAGGCAATGGTGTGATCGTAGCTCACTGCAACCTCCACCGCCTGGGTTCAAGTGATTATCCCACCTCAGCCTCACAAGTAGCTGGGACTACAGGTACACGCCAGCACACCTGGCTAATTTTTCTATTTTTTGGTAGAGATGGGGTTTCACCATGTTAGTCAGGCTGGTCTTGGCCTCTCGAAGTGCTGGAATTACAGGCGCCAGCCACTGGGCCCAGCTCCAGGTTTAACCTTGGAAAATATTTCTTTGAAGTGACAAGGGAAAACTTTATTTTCTTATATCAAACATTGTAGAGGGCTAGGTGTGTTGGCTCATGCCTGCAATTTCAGCACTTTGGGAGACTAAGGCAGGAGGATCACTTGAGGCCAGGAGTTCAAGAATAGCCTAGGCAACATAGTGAGACCCTGTCTCTACAAAAAGTTTAATTTAAAAAAGTGTACAGATATATAAAGAAAAAGTTAAGTCTAGCCATATTTTCATCCTGCCTTCACAAGGTAACCAGTATCAATAGCTTGGTTTGTATTTTTCTATCCTCCTTGCTCATACAAATATACATGCACACAAAGCAAACAGAAGGATGTTTCTGTTAAACAAAACATGTATTTTATTTTGTTGAACAGAAATAGGATCATGCCTAAATTTATTTTTATACATCACTCTGAAGTTTATTTCCTTTATTAAGATTATGGTTAAAAGGATTATGATTTACATAAAGATGTATGAGATGAACAATGTCTTAAAGGACAGACAGGTAGAGAAGGAATTATAATTGAAGAAGTAAAAAAGCATCCCAGGAAGTGGGGGAGGAAGAAGAGAGACACACAGAAAAGCCTACAGGTTGGAGAAGGAAAAGCAAATGTACATATTTAATTGGTGCCAGAAGAGAGAGGTTTGTGTACAGTACAGGCATACCCCAGAGATACTGTAGTTGTCAGTTCCAGACAACTACAATAAAGTGAGTCACTTGGATTTTTTTGTTTCTCCGTGCATATAAAAGTTGTGCTTACACTATACTGTAGTGTATTAAGTATGGAATAGCATTATGTCTATAAAAACAATGTTCATAGTTTAATTTGGTTAAGGTATAGCTAAAAATGCTAACGGTCAGCTGAGCCTTCAGGAAGTCATAATGTTCTTGCTGGTAGAGGGTCTCGCCTCCATTTCTGATGGCTGCTGACTGATCAGGGTGGTGGTTGCTGAAGGCTGCAGTGGCTGTGGCAATTCCTTAAAATAAGACAACAATGAAGTTTGCCATATCAATTGACTCTTCCTTTCATGAAAGATTATTCTGTAGCATGTAATGCTGTTTGATAGTATTTTGTCCACAGTAAAACTTCTTTCAGTACTGGAGTCCATCCTCTCAATCTCTGCTGCTGCTTTATCAACTAAGTTTATGTAATATTCAAAATCCTTTGTTGCCATTTCAACAATGTTCACAGAATCCTCACCAGTAGTTTCCATTTCAAGAAACCACTCTGCTCATCCATAAGAAGCAACTCCTCATCTGTTCAAAATTCATGAGATTGTAGCAATTCAGTCCCATCTTCAGGCTCCACTTCTAATTGTAGTTCTCTTGTTATTGTCACCCCATCTGCAGTGACTTCCTTCACTTAAGTCCTGAACCCCTCAAAGTCACCCATGACAGTTGGCAACCACTTCTTCCAAACTCCTGTTCATATGGATTTAATATGGATATTTTTACTTCCTCCCATGAATCACAAATATTCTTTTTTTTTTGAAATGGAGTCTTGTTCTGTCGGTCAGGCTAGAGTGCAGTGGCACAATCTTAGCTCACTGCAACCTCCGCCTCCGAGGTTCAAGCAATTCTCTTGCCTCAGTCGCCCGAGTAGCTGGGATAATGGGCACCCGCCATCTTGCCCAGCTAATTTTTGTAATTTTAGTAGAAATGGGGTTTCACCATATTGGCCAGGCTGGTCTCGAACTCCTGACCTTGGAATCATGCATATTCTTAATAACACCTAGAATGACAAAAACTTTTCAGAGGTTTTCAATTTACTTTGCCCAGGTCCATCAGAGGAATTACTATCTATGGCAGCTAAAGCCTTTTGAAATGTATTTCTTTTTTTTTTTGCCAATCAGTTTGAGCTTATGAGGTTGCTCAGGTTAGCCTTGAACTGATGACCTCGCCTTCGCGAGCGCCATGACCTCCGGCGGGAGCCACTTTGGACCCCTTGAAATGTATTTCTTAAACAGTAAGACTTGAAAGTCAAAATCATGCCTTGATCCATGGGCTGTGGAATGGATGTTGTGTTAGCAGGCATGAAAAAAACATTTAACTCCTGTACACATCAAGCTCTACAGAAGCTCTCCATCAGAGCTCTTGGGCGACCAGGTGTACTGTTAATGAGCAGTAATATTTTGACAAGAATCTTTCTTTCTTTCTGAACAGTAGGCCTCAAAAATAGGCTTAAAATGCTCAGTAAATCATACTGTTAACAGATGTGCTATTATCCAGGCTTTCTTGTTCCATTTATAGAGCACACGCAGAGTAGATTTAGCATAATTCCTTTTTGAGATGGAGTCTCGCTCTGTTACCCAGACTGGAGTGCAATGGCATGATCTCTGCTCACTACAACCTCCGCCTCCCAGATTCAAATGATTCTCCTGTCTCAGCCTCCTGAGTAGCCGGGACTACAGGCACCCACTACCATGCCTGGCTAATTTTTTGTATTTTTAGTAGAGATGGGGTTTCACTATATTGGCCAGGCTGGTCTTGAACTCCTGACCTCAAGTGATCCTCCCGCCTTGGCCTCCCAGAGTGCTGGGATTACAGGCATGAGCCACTGTGCCTGGGGCTATTTTTTTTTTTTTGTACTTTTAGTAGAAACAGGGTTTTGCTACATTGGCCAGGCTGGTCTTGAACTCCTTGCCTCAAGAGATGCGCTTGCCTCGACCTCCCAAAGTCCTGGGATTACAGGCATGAGCCAGCATGCCTGGATTATTTAGCATAATTCTTTTTTTTTTTTTTTTTTTTTTTGAGACAAAGTCTCGCTCTTGTCCTCAGGCTGGAATGCAATGGCACAATCTCGGCTCACTGCAACCTCCAACTCCTGGGTTCAAGCAATTCTCCTGCCTCAGCCTCCTCAGTAGCTGGGATTACAGGCACCCGACACCACGCTCAGCTAATTTTGTATTTTTAGTAAAGACGAGATTTCACCATGTTTGCCAAGCTGGTCTCAAACTCCTGACCTCAGGTGATCCACCAGCATCAGTCTCCCAAAGTGCTGGGAATATGTATGAGCCACAGCCCCAGCCTATTTAGCATAATTCCTGTTTTGTTTTGTTTTGTTATTTTTGAGAGGGAATTTTGCTCTCTCATCCAGGCTGGAGTGCAGTGGTGCACTCTTGGCTCACTGCAGTCTCTGCCTTCTTGGTTCCAGTGATTCTCCTCCTCAGCCTACCAAGTAGCTGAGATTACAGATGTGCACAACCACATCCAGCTAATTTTTGTACTTTTAGTACAGACGGGGTTTCACCATGTTGGCCAGGCTGGTCTCAAACCCCTGGCCTCGTGATTCGCCCACCTTGGCCTCTCAAAGTGCTGGGATTACAGGTGTGAGCCATGGCACCCAGTCTATTTAGCATAATTCTTAAAGGCACTAGGATTTTTGGGATGTAAATGAGTATTGGCTTCAACTGCATTAGCTGCATGCGCTCCTAACAAGAGAGTCAGCCTGTCCTTTGAAGATTTGAAGTCAGGTATTGACTTCTCTCTGGCATTTTCTTCCAATGGAAGTCTATTTCATCTACCTTGAAAATCCACTGTTTAGTGCAGCCACCTTCATCAATGATCTTAGCTAGATCTTCTGGATAGCTTGCTACAACTTCTAAATCAGCGCTTGCTGCTTCACCTTGCACTTTTATGTTATGGAGACAGCTTTTTCCCCTTTAAGGCTCATCAATCAATCTCTGCTAGCTTCAAACTTTTCTTCTGCATCACCCTCACTTCTCTCAGCCTTCATAAAACTGAAGACAGTTGGGGCCTTTCTCTGGATTAGGCTCTAGCTGAAGGTAATATTGTGGCTGGTTTGATCTTCTATCCAGACCACTAAAATTTTCTCTACATCAATATAGATGAAACTTACATCTGTTGCACTATTTTTCTTTTTTCTTTTGAGACGGAATTTCGCTCTTGTTACCCAGGCTGGAGTGCAATGGCGCGATCTCGGCTCACTGCAAACTCCGCCTCCTGGGTTCAGGCAATTCTGCCTCAGCCTCCTGAGTAGCTGGGATTACAGGCACGCGCCACCGTGCCCAGCTAATTTTTTGTATTTTTAGTAGAGACGGGGTTTCACCATGTTGACCAGGATGGTCTTGATCTCTTGACCTCGTGATCTACCCAACTCGGCCTCCCAAAGTGCTGGGATTACAGGCTTGAGCCACCATGCCTGGCCAGCACTTTCTATTTTTCAGGTGTTCACTGGAGTAGCACTTTGAATTTCCTTCAAGAAGTTTCCTTTTGCATTCACAACTTGGCTGTTTGGTACAAGAGGCCCAGCTTTCTGCCTCACTCAGCTTTTGACATGCGTTCCTCACTAAGCCTAATCATTTCTAGTGTGGATTTAAAGTGAAAGATGGGCAACTCTCTTTTTCACCTCAACACTTAGAGGCCATTGTAGGGTTATTATTAGCCTAATTTCAATATTGTTGTGTCTCAGGAAATAAGGAGGCCAGAAGAGAGTGGGGAAATGGCTGGATGGTAGAGTAGTCAGAACACATACAATATTTATTAAGTTCATTGTCTTATATGGGCATATTGTGTGGTGCCCCAAAACAACTACAATATGATACATACAGATATGATAATAATGAAAAAGTTGAAATGTTGTGATAATACCAAAATATGGCACAGAGACATGAAGTGAGCACATGCTGTTGGAAAAATGGTGCTGGTAGACTTGCTGGACACAGGGTTGCCACACACCTTCAGTTTGTAAATAATAGTATCTGCGTAGTACAGTAAAGCAAAGCACAATGAGATATGCCTGTCATCGAACCAGAGCAGAAAAGGTCATTGGGTCACTCCATCCCCTTTAAGTACCTGCAATCCGGGGTACAAGAGACCACTCAGCAAAGGGTGCTCCACCTGCTTTACCACCTCAGCTCCAGCCTTCTTGGAATCGTGCTGTGTGACCATGGAGGAGAGTCTATACACATCTAGTGTGTACTCTCTGAAGAGGAAAGGAAGAGGGGACAGCTGTAAACCTGGGCCTAGGCCTCAGTTTCCTAGGGCAATCTAAAAGCACATCAATTTACTTCCCTAACACTTAGTGTAACCAGGATCTCAGTTTTAAAAATATTTTTTAATCACTGACTTTCTTGTTCTTCTTTCCCTCTCTTCTAGTATTGCATGCTTACTTAATTACGTTCTTGCTTAAGAAATTCCAGAGAGGAGGGTGAGGATTCAAAAACTACCTATCAGGTATTATGCTGATTACCTGGGTGACAAAATTGTCTGTAAACCAAACCCCTGTGACATGTAATTTACTCATGTAACAAACTTGCACATGCACCCCTTGAATCTAAAATAAAAGTTGGAAAAAAAAAGAAGTTCCAGAGGCTAACCTTGAAACACACTAGGCATGGAGCCCAGATTGCAGAATCCTCCTGCTCAGAGGGAGTCTCAATTAGTCCGTTATCATGAGTCTGAAGTCAAGATAACACCAGCCATACCTCCAGATGGGCAATTATGCAAGACAGCCATCAGAACAGAGACACACAGACCCTGCATTCTGCATCACTCCTGCATGTCTCCCATACAAAGTTTCCCTTTAAAAACATTATGGTAAAGTTCAGAATTTAAGATGGTACTTTAGAACACTGGTCCGCCATCTTCTTGGTTTGTTGGCTCTCTGATTAAACCTGCTTTTCTTCCTACCAACCCCTGTCTCTTGTGTCTGACTTTCAAGTGGCTGGGCAGCTGAACCTGGGTCCAGTTATACCAGGCCATTCAAATAGAGCACTGCCTGGTAGCTTCTAAAATGTGACATACCTATCCTCTCATCTAAAATATTACTTTATTTTTATGGTTTTCCTTTTATCTTATTATTATATATATTTTTTTGAGACAAGGTCTCACTCTGTCGCCTAGGCTGGCATGCAGTGGCGTGATCACAGCTCATAGCAGCCTCAATCTCCTGGGCTCAGGTGATCCTCCCACTTCAGCCTCCAGAGCAACTGGAACTACAGGTATGCGTTACTGCAACTGGTTAATTTTTCTATTTTTTGTAGAGACTTGGTTTTGCCATATTGCCCAGGATGGTCTGGAACTGCTAGGCTCAAGTGATCTGTCTACCTCTGCCTGTCAAAGTGCTGGGGTTACAGGTGTGAGCTACAGTACCTGGCTTGCTTTCCTTTTAAAAGAGGCCTTTAATCAGTATTTTTCTTCACTTCTGGAAAATGTTCTGCTGTTACCTCTTGAAATACTGCTTATCTGCCATTCTCCTTCAGTCTCTTCATCTGGAATGTCTTTTCAACTGATATCAAAATTTCCCAATCTATTTCTGTTTTTTGTTTGTTTGTTTGTTTTTGAGAGAGGATCTTGCTCTGTTGCCTAGGCTGGAGGTTGCAGTGAGCCAAGATTGTGCTTGGGCAACAGAGTGAGATGTTGTCTCCAAAAAACAAACAAACAAAAATAAACAAATACATGTGAGAAATAATGAACAATACAAGGAATACCCAACACCAGTTTTTTTTTGAGACGGAGTTTTGCTCTTGTTACCCAGGCTGGAGTGCAATGGTGCAATTTCGGCTCACCGCAACCTCTGCCTCCTGGGTTCAGGCAATTCTCCTGCCTCAGTCTCCTGAGTAGCTGGGATTACAGGCACGCACCACCATGCCTAGCTAATTTTTTGTATTTTTAGTAGAGACAGGGTTTCACCATGTTGATCAGGATGGTCCCGATCTCTTGACCTCGTGATCCACCCACCTCGGCCTCCCAAAGTGCTGGGCCCATCACCCAGTTTTAAAAAAAGGACCCAGTCAGGCATAGTGGAGCACACCTATAGTCCCAGCTGCCAGAAGCTGAGGCAGGAGGATTGCTTGAGCCCATAAATTTGAGGCTGTAGTGAGCTCTGACCATGCCACTGCACTTTAGCCTGAGTGACAGAGATCCTGCCTCAAAAAATAAAAAAAATAAAATTTTAAGGCTGGGTGTGGTGGCTCACGCCTGTAATTCCAGCACTTTGGGAGGCTGAGGCAGGTGGTTCAGGAGGTCAAGAGATCAAGACCATCCTGGTCAACATGGTGAAACCCCGTCTCTACTAAAAATACAAAAATTAGCTGGGCATGATGGCATGTGCCTGTAGTCCCAGCTACTCGGGAGGCTGAGGCAGGAGAATTGCTTGAACCCAGGAGGCAGAGCTTGTGGTGAGCTGAGATCGCGCCATTGCACTCCAGCCTGGGTAACAAGAGTGAAACTGTCTCAAAAAAAATTAAAATAAACAAATAAAAATAAAATTTTAAAAAATTATAAAGAAAAAGTACCTAAGAATTACTTCTGAAGCTCCTGAGCAGTCCTCCATAATTCTCTGCCACTTTTTCCTTCAGAGTAACCACTCTCCTTAACACCTGTGTTTCTTTCCAGTATATTACATTTATATCACTGTAAACAATGTGTTATAAATATTCTTGTGTATTTTGGTATACAAGTTTCTCTATATATGCCTAGAAGTAGAATTTCTGGATCACCAGGGATTTGCACCTTGAACTTTAGGGGATGATGCCTATTTGCGCTTTTATCAATTTTTTTCCTTAATTTTGACATTATTTTAAATTTTTGCCAATTTGGTGAGCACAAAATGTTTTCTCACTGTAGTTTTAATCTCATTTCTTTGAATAATAAACAAAGAGGTGAGTAGCTTCCCCTATGCACACTGGTCTTTCAGGTTTCTTCTGTGTACTGCCAGACTTTTTCTACTGGATTGACTTTTTTTTTTTTTTAACAAATGATTCTGTAGTTTCTGAAATTTAAGACTGAATATTAATTCTTTGCTAGTTACATGTGTTATACATTTCTTCCAGTTTGTGGCTTGTCTTTCTACTTTACTTCTGATGTACTGAAGTTCTTAACTTTAATGTACTGGAATTCATTAATCTTTTCCTGTGATTTGTGCTTTTGGTATGTTTTGTTTTTCCTACCTTAAGATTGTAAGATTGTACCATATACTGTTTTTTAGGTGTTTTGTAGTTTGGTCTTTACAATTAAATCTTTATTCCATGTAGAATGGAAGGATCATTTTTTTTTCTGTATTGATAATCAATTGTTTCGACACCATTTTTGCTTTAAATGTTTATTCTTTCTCTGCTAGTCTGCAATGAATGGCAGCTCTGTTATGTCAAGTTTCCATGTTTGTGAGGATCTATTTCTCTACTCTCCATTCTGTTTCATTGGTTAATTATCTATCCCCAGGCTAATTCCACGTACATAAATGACATAGAATTTGGTATCTAAAAAAGTAGAAAAATGGGCAAAAACACTTGCACAGGCACTTTACAAAAGAGGAAATCCAAATGGCCAATAGAAACATGAAAATAATTTTTTACTGATATTTTCAGATATTTTACACCTATACTTGCATGGTAATCTAGGTAATTTCAACCTAGATTTTTAGGTTGAAAATCCTTCTCTTTCTGAATGTTGGGCTCAAGCAATCCTGCTGCCTCAGCCTCCCTAGTAGCTAGGACTATAGATGTGCATAGATGTGTTCCCTTCCTTCCCTCCTTCCATTCTGTCCTTCCTTCCTTGTCTCTCTCTGTTGCCCAGGCTGGAGTGCACCTCCAGGGTTCAAGTGATTCTCCTCCCTTAGCCTCCTGAGTAGCTGAGATTACAGGTGTCTGCCACCACATCTGGCTAATTGTTTGTATTTTTAGTAGCGATGGGGTTTCACCATGTTGGCCGGTCTGGTCTTGAACTCCTAACCTCAAGTGATCCCTCCACTTTGACTTCCCAAAAGTGTTGGGATTACAGTTTTAAGCCACCTTGCTGGCTTAGTGCTCCTTTTAAGAAATGTGAAGCTATTCTGATTCCTGACATTTCTAGATGTTATTTCTTCTTCTTCTTTTTTGAGACAGAGTTTTGCTCTTATCGTCCAGGCTGGAGTGCAACAGTGTGATCTCAGCTCGCTGCAACCTCCACCTCCTGGTTAAAGCCTTTGGAGTAGCTGGGATTACAGGTGCTTGCTACCATATCTGGCTAAATTTTTTGTATTTTAGTAAAGATAGGGTTTCACCACGTTAGCCAGGCTGGTCTCGAACTTCTGACCTCAGGTGATCTGTCCACCTCAGCCTCCCAAAGTGCTGGGATTACAGGTGTGAGCCATCACGCCTGGCCAATTTCTTCTGTCCCTTTGGGAGTTTGTAGAATATTTTTTGTCCTCAGTGTTTTAAAATATCAAGAGAATATACTTCAATGTGGATTTACTTTTATACATTGTGCTAGGCACTTAATGGGCCCTTTCCATCTGAAACTCATGTCCTTTAATTGTCCTTATTTTCATGAATTATTTCATCCTTAAATTATTTCATTATTTCCTTCACTTTGATTCTCTCTTTTCTGAAACACTTATTCAAATATTAGACCTCCTGGCCTAGTATTCTAATTTTCTAACCTTTTTCTCTCTTTTTTTGTTCTTGTGTTCTATGAGACCAGAAAACCAAAGTTCAAGAACATACAATTCAATGATCCACAAGGTGCAAGTAGTGTTCAGTGTTCCATATCCTATATTTTGTAGATTCTAAGATGCATTTTTTTTTAACATTTAACATTCTGAAATCTAGATGAGTCTTATAAATAATGGGATGTTATACGTTAACATTTTTGACAGTATCTAAGATTAACTGAACTACAGTATCTCTGTATTCCCACTTTTACTCCAATCACTGAATATTCTTGATTAACTTGTCTGTACATTGCTACATTTAGTATAAAAAAATTTTATCCAGCATTTTTAGCTGTTTTCAGCAGGTTACAATACCTAGTCTGCCAGACTGCTAGAAACAAAAGTCATTATCCATATCTCAAAATTACATTTTTTGTCCACCTTTCTGGTCCACATTTTGGGCAAATTTCTTAGTACTATTGTTCAAATCTCTAATTTTCTCTTCAAGTATATTCGGTCTACAGTTGATCCTATTTATCCAAGACTAGGTTTTTTTTTTTCCTTTAATAACTGAAATTTCCATTTCCAAGATTTCTAAATGATTCTTTTTATTTTATATGTTCATGTTTCACTCTGCCTCTCTGTCCCTTGGTTATTATTTTTATTTATTTAGAAACAGAATCTCACTCTGTCCCCCAGTGCAGTGGCAAGATCTCAGCTCACTTCAACCTCTGCCTAGCGGGTTCAAGAGATTCTTGTGTCTCAGCCTCCCTAGTAGCTGGGATTATAGGAATGCACCACCACACCTGGCTGATTTTTTGTATTTTTAATAGACACATCACCATGTTGGCCAGGCTGGTCTCAGACTTCTGGCCTCAAGTGACCTATCTGCCTCAGCCTCTCAAAGTACTGGGTGGTTATTTTACATATTTTTTTAATTAGAAATTTTTTTTTAGAGATGGGGGAGTCTCACTATGTTGCCCAGGCCAGTCTCATGCAATCCTCCCACCTCAGCCTCTCAAAGTGCTAGGATTACAGGCATGAGCCACCACGCCTAGCCCTATTTTCACATTTTTTCTATCATTGCTCTGTTTGGAACAGAAGGAGCATATCAAGTGTGCACTACAAAGCCATCTTCCTATAAAGTCACTTTTTTGTTTTCCTTTCTTTGAGACAGAGTCTCACTCTGTTGGCCAGGTTAGAGTGCAGTGGCATGATCTCGGTTCACTGCAACCTCTGCTTCCCAGGTTCAAACAATTCTCCTGCCTCAGCTTCCCAAGTTGATGGGATTACAGGTGTGTACCACCATGCCTGGCTAATTTTTGTATTTTTAGTAGAGATGGGGTTTTGACCTTAGGTGATCCACCCGCTTCAGCCTCCCAAAGTGCTGGGATTATAGGTGTGAGCCACCATGCCTGGCCCTAAAGTCATTTTTATATATAGAAAAATATCAAGTGACTTTGAAGCAAGATAGCTTTATTTATCCCACCTTCCCATATCCCATATTCTCCTAAGTTCTTGGAGAATAAAAACTATGCCTGTGTTCTTCACAGGTATAACTCCAGTGCCTAGACTAGTGTCTGGCACATAGTAAGAATTCAATATATACTTGCAAGACTCATTCCCTTACCATCTTCAGGTTGCTGCCTAATGTCATTTTAGCAGAGAGGGCTTCCCTAACCATCTCATTCAAATTGAAACCCCCCATTTCCTGAAAAGTTTCTCTACCCTGACCTGTCTGCATTGTTTCAGCAATTGCCATCTGTTACACACATAACTTATTATTTACTGTCTGATTTCCTTGCTAGAATGTAAGTCCCATTAGGATAGGGAGGACTTTTATTTGCTTTACTTTTGCATAATCAGTATCCAGAACAGTGCCTATCATATACCAGGGGCTCCATAAAGATCTGTAGATTAAATATAAAAATGAATAAAATTTCAGGTACTCTTCAAAGGCTGAAGATTCAAAGATCTGTTCATATAAGGATGTTGATATGCTTTATTTATTTCTTTTCTTTCTTTTCTTTTTTTTTTTTTTTTTGGAGATGGAGTCTTACTCTATTGCCAAGGTTGGAATGCAGTGGTATCATCTTGGTTCACTGCAACCTTCACCTCCCAGGTTCAAGTGATTCTCATGCCTCAGCCACCCAAGTAGCTGGGATTACAGGTGTGTGCCACCATGCTCAGCTAATTTTTTGTCTTTTTAGTAGAGATGGGGTTTGGCCACATTGGCCAGGCTGGTCTCAAACTCCTGACCTCTAGTGATCCGCCAACCTCCAAAGCACTAGGATTACAGGCGTGAGCCACCACACCTGGTCCTATTTTTCTTTTCTTTTCTTTCCCTTTCTCTTCTCTTCTCTTCCCCTGACTCCCTCCTTCTCTCCCTCCCTCCCTCCCTATCTCTCTTTTTCTTTCTTTCTTGAGATGGGGACTTGCTATATTGGCCAGGGTGGTCTTCAATTCTTGGCCTCAAGCAATTCTCCCAGCTTGGCCTCCCAAAGCGCTTGATTACATGCGTGAGCCACCCCGTCCAGCCTACATGCCTTCTTTAAAGCCCTAAATGTATCAACAGTGAGGAATGGTAAAAAAAATTATATTAGCTACAGTAAAAAGAGAAATTTACTAGTAAGCAAGAGATCTGGGTTCATATCCTGACTCACCTATTTACTAGATATATAAACTTGGAAAAGTTAAATCTGAATTAATTTATCTGTGAAATAGGAAAAAATAAGGCTTACTTTAAAAAATTGTTCTAAGGGTTTAAATGCAAAAGTGACTAATAGAGTGATATGTACTTAGAAATCCATATCTGAGGTTTCAAAAATTTTTTACTGTGGAGACAATGAGGCAGCATTCAGGAATTGCTTAAAAAAGAGTAAGTTGGGCCGGGCGCAGTGGCTCACGCCTGTAATCCCAGCACTTTGGGAGGCCAAGGCGGGTGGATCACGAGGTCAAGAGATCGAGACCATCCTAGTCAACATGGTGAAACCCCGTCTCTACTAAAAATACAAAAAATTAGCTGGGCACGGTGGCATGTGCCTGTAATTCCAGCTACTCAGGAGGCTGAGACAGGAGAATTGCCTGAACCCAGGAGGCGGAGGTTGTGGTGAGCCGAGATCGCACCATTGCACTCCAGCCTGGGTAACAAGAGCAAAACTCCGTCTCAAAAAAAAAAAAAAGAAAGAAACATTAGGACACAAAATATCTACGCTAACAATATCATTTTGTTCCAAATATGAACAAAACTCACAAAGATAAGCAATAACTATTGTTAGGATGGTGAGAAAAATTTTTCTTCTGTATTTCTTTTATTATTTGGTAAGGCTAGAAGAGAAAGGGAGGCTGAATTATTCACCATCACACTCCCATATCCTCTAAGTTCTGCAAGACCAAGGACGTTGTTATGGTTACGTTCATATCTCCAGCAAACAGGACAGTACCAAGGCATTTACTAGTCAGTACACTTCTGATAGATTAATTACAAGGACAAAGAGTATAAAGTTTTAAATGGTTCTGAATAGGTCATGCCAGACAGCTTCTAATCTAAACGTAAAGAAAGCCTGCACTCCACAGGCCTGTAATTAGCTAGAACCACCAGAGCCACAAGGAAGGGGGATGATCAAGCACTTACTTGCTGAGCTGGTAATCAGTGCCTTTGATGAACTTGAGCTTCTCCAAGGGTACACCAATGCTCTCCAGCATTGCTTTGATCACATTCTCATAGTAACTAACTCGGAGTTCTAGAAGTTCCCATGGGGCTTTCATGTTATCCAGGTATGCGTGGAGGTCCGCAAACAGAATTGTTACCTGGACAAGGGATAAGGGGTCACCAAAATGTGAATTTTTCCAAGTACCTCCAACCTCTCTCCTCCAGCCCCACACTGTCCTTGTTAAATCTCTCTTGAGTCTCCCTTGGGTCAGTCCCCAAGGGCTTATAGCATTAGTTCTTACCTCACATCCTGCCTTCAAGAAGTCTGCAATCTTTGACATGGGCACAAAGTAAGCCACATGTGGTTTGCCAGTGGTTGCCGTTCCCCAGTAAATTTTAAGTTCCCGCTCCTTCAGTATCTCCTTCAGCTTCTCTTCCCCGAGAACCTCCTGTTGTGGAAGCAGAAGAGTTGGTTTAATGTCGGTGCCCCACCTTGCCCATCATCTACCCTGTGACAAGGAAAACAAAAGCATGTGTCACTGGAGATCCTTGCTCAGAGCCTTCAAGAGGGTCCAGCCATGCTCTCAGTGCAGAGAGCCAATGTAAGTTGGTACTGCTGCTAGTATCACCCCTGATGTTGGGGAGTGGGGACATGTCCCTAACTGCATCTTTGCCTTCAGCTACTCGTAAACCAAAACTAAATTCTAAGACCCCCAACTGACTGAATGGATCCCCCATTATGGCCAATGGGATCCCAAAGAAACCTAAAAAACTAGTTCAGGCCAAGACAGAAAGGAAGGGTCTGACATGCCTCATTATACCTCCTCCCTTTGGAGTATATTTATTTTTTTTGTTTTTTTTTTTTTTTTTTTTTTGAGACAGAGTCTTACTCTGTGGCCCAGGCTGTAGTGCAATGGCACAATTTTGGCTCACTTCAACCTCCGCCTCCCAGGTTCAAGCAATTTTCCTGCTTCAGCCTCCTAAGTAGCTGGGATTACAGGCATCTGCCACCACGCCTGGCTAATTTTTGTATCTTTAGTAGAGATGGGGTTTCACCATGTTGGCCAGGCTAGTCTTGAACTCCTGACCTCGTGATCTGCCTGCCTCAGCCTCCCAAAGTGCTGGGATTACAGGCGTGTGCCACTGCGCCTGGCACTTTTTTTTGAGACAAGGTCTTGCTCTGTTGCCCTGGCTAGAGTCCACTTGAGCAAACACAACTCACTGCAGCCTCAACATCCAGGCTCAAGCAATCCTCCTACCTCAGCTGAGAAGCTAGGGCTACAGGCACAGATATGCCTGGCTAGTTTTTTCTGTTTAGTAGAGATGAAGTCTCACTATGTTGCCTAGGCTGGTCTTGAACTCTTGGGCTCAAGTGATCCTCCGGCCTCAGCCTCCCAAAGTGCTGGGATTATAGGCATAAGCCAGCCCACCTGGTGATCCTCTGGAGTTTAGATACAACAGACCAGCATTAACATTAAAACACAGATAGTAAGATTGACAAAACAAACTCTCTGTAGCAGTAAGATACCAAATTCCAACCTGATTCTGGTATCGCACCACATGATAGACAGCAGACCCTGAAAGAAATCAAAGTATTTTACCCCAAAGGATATTACTTTGACATATTTTTAAATGGCCCTACAAACTGCCTCTTGGGGAAATGTGCATTCTGTAGAAAAATCTCCTACCCTTACTAAATTTTTTCTGGAGAGTCTGACACCTTTTAAGATCAGATAACAGACATTCACCATCAATTCTCTCTGAAGCCAGCTACCTAGAGGCTTCATCTACAAGACAAGAACCTTGGCTTCCACAACCCTCCTTATCTTTTTTTTTTTTTTTTTTTTTGAGTCTCCCTGTTGCCCAGGCTGGAATACAGTGGTGTGATCTCAGCTCACTGCAACCTCAAGCGATTCTCCCAGGCACGTGCCGCCACGCCCAGCCAATTTTTGTATCTTAAGTAGAGCCCGGTTTCACCATGTTGGCCAGGCTGGTCTCGAACTCCTGACCTCGTGATCCACCCACCTTGGCTTTCCAAAGTGCTGGGATTTACAGGTGTGAACCACCGAGCCAGCCTAACCCTCCTTATCTTAACTCAAACTGACTTCAACTCTTCAGGCAGAGTTTAACACTTTCAACCAATTTGCCAATCAGGAAATCTTTGAATCCACCTAGAAACTAGAACCCCCATCTCCTCTCTGGGCAAACCAATGTATACCTTAATTGTATTGATTTGTGATTTTGCCTGTAACTTCTATCTCCCCCAAAACATATAAAACAAAGCTGTAACCCAACCATCTTAAACACGTGTTCTCAGGACTTCTGAGACTGTGTCAGCTGCCATGGTCTTTAACCTTAGCAAAATAAATCTCTAAATTGATTGAGACTTGTCTCGGATACCTTTTTTTCTTCCCCCAAGACAGAGTCTTACTCTGTCCCCCAGGCTGGAGTACAGTTCTGTGATCTCTGCTTACTGCAACCTCCACCTCCAGGGTTCAAGCGATCTTCTTGCCTCAGCCTCCAGAGTAGCTGAGATTGCAGGTGTGCCCCACCACACCTGGCTATTTTTTTGTATTTTTAGTAGAGATGGGGTTTCACCATGTTGGTCAGGCTGGTCTTGAACTCCTGACCTCAAATAATCCACCTGCCTCAGTCTCCCAAAGTGCTGGGATTGTAGGCATGAGCTACCACATCTGGCCTCAGATACTTTCTGTTTTACATACCTCTAATTCACTCTCCTTCCTTTCATTGCCAGTTTCTTGAAACAGTTGTCTCTTCTTTTGATCTTCATTTCCTAGTCTCCCATTCCAATTTGAATTCCATGCCACATCGTAGTGTGATAACCTGCTTTTTGCCAGCCAAAACTAACTCTTTCTCAGACTAAAAACTGTTCAGGCTTTATGTTAGCTTCTTGAGCCGGACAGACTCCATCTTAGCTTCTTCATATTAGTTATCTTCCCACCATCAAGTATGTAACTACAGTATGTAGCTGGGGTAGGCTGACACTGGGCACCTCCAGGAGTGCATTAGTTGATAAGAAACCGAGTTAAGTGGTACCAGCAGAGCCTGGGAATGCAGGTGCAGTCGGATGCCCAGAACCCCCATTATCTATAAGTTGTATGTCTTTTATGACAACTTTACCCCTTGCACCTGGCACTGTTTTATTTCTCATGTACCAGTTTATCTTTTAACTTTTTTGCTTACTCTGCTTTTGTGAAAAATTTGCTTCAGCTAGGTTCCCCCTCCCCTTCAAAACCAGGGTATAAAAAACCACCTAACTTTTTCTTAGTGCTGAAAACACTTTGGGTGTTAGCCACCTCTCGATTGCCAGCATAATAAAGGACTCATAAATCAATCTCAGAGTGTGGCGCATTCCTTGACTCGCTCCAGTACAACAATACTACTAAATTCCGTATCACATCACACATACACTTGCTAAGATCACAGAGGACCTTCATGTTGCTAAATTCAATGAGTATTTTTTAGTCTTCACTCCCTCCCAGAGGTACTCTCCTTTGGTCTCCTTTATTTTATTCTCTAAGTTTTCCTCTTCGCTGCCTGCTTGGATTTCTTTGCAACTGTTCTTATTTTTCCTAGTCATTAAATATTAGCAATCTCTGGGGCTCTGGTCTTTTTTTCTTCTTACTCTACATTCTCCTTAACTGATCCCCTTCAGTTGCTTCAATTACTACTATGAGCCAGTAACTCCCAAATCTCCTGCTCACATCCATATACAGAACCGTGTTCTTGTTGTCAACCCAATCATTCAAAACACAACTCATGCTCTTGACTTCTTACTTCACTCCTCAACCATCTTTTTCACCGATAGTTTCACTCCTTGTTCAGTAAATGATACCATCATTTAGAGTTGTTCAAGGTACTCCAAAACTGTTCTTCAACCCTCCTATTTCTCTCTGCCTCTACACATCACCACCCAAATCCAGGCCCCATCAGATAACACCAGGATTACTCTAATATTCTCCTAACTGGTCTCCCAAGTCTACTTTTGCTCCTTCTAATCAATTTTCTTTTCTTTTTTTTTTTTTCTGAGACGGAGTCTTGCTGTGTCACCCAGGCTAGAGTGCAGTGATGTAATCTTAACTCACTGTTCAGATGATCCGCCTGCCTCAGCCTCCCAAGTAGCTGGAATTACAGGTGCCCACCACCAGGCCTGGGAAATTTTTGTATTTTTAGTAGAGATGGGGTTTCACTATGTTGGCCAGGTTGGTTTTGAACTCCTGACCTCAAGTGATCTGCCCTCACGGGCCTCCCAAAGGCATGAGCCACTCTGCACCTGGCCCCTCCAATCCATGTTCTAAAAGGTAGCCAGAGACAGTCCTTAAAACCCAAAACTTCTTAAAACTCATTTTCCTTTTTAAGACCTTTAATGATTTATTTTTGTCCTATGACAATATTGGAAAAATTCTAATAGGCCAGTATATGTAGCGTCTCCTCAAGTTATGGTTTTGGGAGGCTGTTAGAAACCATGATATTGCTGGTTTGAATCATGTATTAGCATGACTTGTTAAAATCCTGTGCTCCAAGTCTGTTGGCAGGTGATCCCACATGCTCAAGAGCACCCCCAACTATGTGGACACTTGGAAGGTTATCACCACCCAAGAAGATGTCACATTACTTAGCCTTTAAACCCTGAGTGAGGCCAGGTGCAGTGGCTCACACCTGTAATCCCAGCACTTTGGGAGGCCAAGGTCAGCACATAACTTGAGGTAAGGAATTTGAGACCAGCCTGACCAACATGGTGAAACCCTCTCTCCATTAAAAATAGAAAAATCAGCCAGGTGTGGTGGTGCATGTTTGTAATATTCCAGCTACACGGGAGGCTGAGGCAAAAGAATCACTTGAGCCTGGGAGGCGGAGCAAAACTCTGTTTCAAAATAATCCCAAAAACCAAAAACCCGTGAGTTAATTCTAATAGTTTTGTGTACCTTAAGTCCCCAGTCAGAACTATTTTATAGAGAGGGAATAAGAAACTATGACTCTAACTAGGGGAAGCATTAATTTAACCTTTGGTTAAAATTAAGTTGTGAATGGAATAACCTAAATGTCCATCAACTGATGATGGGTAAACAAAATGTATATATCCATACAAGAGAGTATCATTCAACCATAAAAAGGAATGACGTTTTGCTAGATGCAAAAACAGATGAATTTTGAAAATATTATGCTAAGTGCAAAAAAGACGCAACAAGACACATATTGTATGATTCCAGTTATATGAAATGTCCAGAATAGGCAAATACCTGGAGACAGAGAGATTAGTGTTTCCCTAAGGCTGGGAGTAGAGGGTAATAGGTAGTGTCTGCAAGTTTTATTAGGTAGTGTGATAGTTGCACAACCTGTGAACATATTAAAACTCACTGAATTGTATACTTTAAAAGGGTGAAATTTATAGAATGTGAATTACATCTCAAAAAAAGAGAAAACAGAGCAGGCTGTGGCCCAACTGATGTATCACTGCTCTTAGAAGAAAGCCCAATTTAAAATTGAACAGAATAAGACCTACAAGGCCCCCGTGACTTGGTCCCTGCCTGCCTCTCCTAAACAAATAAACAATTAAAACGAATAGTATGTAGGAACAATAATGGAAAAAAAGGCAGAGCAAGGGATGGGGCAGTTCTGGTGCCAGAGGATTTGTTATTTAAATAAAGCGGTCGGGAAATGCCTCCCTGATAAAGTGACAATAGAAGCCCGGAAAAGTCAAGCGAATACACAATATAAATTTTTCAGTGCTTCCTCATAACTGCTCACTCCATTCCACCTAAGTTAGCCACAATTTCTGTTCCCTCCATCTGAAATGCTCTCCCTCTCATTCTTCCATTCTTCCTCTGGTTAACTCCTACTCCTTTAGTGCTTGGTAACAGTCGGAACAGACTTGGCCTGAGGGCAGGGGGATCTATTACTTTCAGGGCACAATTTAGAGGTCACTTCCTCAGGGAAGCCTTCCCTTCTCTCATTTCCTTTTAAAGTTCCCTATACAGCATCTTTCAATACTTACTTGAACCCTGTAATGGGTCATTTTTAACTTCTGGTCCCCTTCAGACAAACTCTGGCAGGCCCTTGACGTATTCTGTAACCAAGCCCCCTATGAATAGTGGCACTTAACGGGGGGTGGAGTGGGAGTCCTGGATTCAAAGCTTGGCTCCAACACAAGGTAACTGCACGCAAAAGGTGAGCTCGCTGTGATTTCTGTGAAACCCAGGGAAGGGCTGCTTGACTGACCGATCATCAGTGAGATCAGCAACCTCTCTCAGAGCGGCCCCAGCGCCGAGTTCCCGGCCCCACACACTTAGAACCCAGTAATGGGACTCAAAATCACTGAAACTCGGGCTCCTAGTCCCTCAACGGCCCATTTCCAATCCCCAGGCCTGACCTGCAGGTTCCGGGTGATAAGCTGCAGTTTCTCTTCAGGGCTGGGAGCGTCCCCCATGGCTCTGCTACCCCTGCTTCCCACACTTAGCCCGGCACCAGAGGCCCTTCCTGGGTTACCGTCGCCGTCGCGTGCCGGGAACTGTCACGCGAGTCCAGCCAGGTTGCATCAGCTAACCTCGTCGCTCGGCTTGCTTGGCCTGAACCCCTCCCCTCCCAGCAATAGCCGGAAAAAGTGAGGAACAGTAGAGAGTCGAGCAGTTCGATGAGCCTGGAAAAGGTGGAGCCAGCAGGCAAGGGAGGTGGTGCGGAGGGCGGGGCTGAGGCGCCTGCGCGGGGCACAACCCTCCTAGAGGCGGGGCGGTTTTCTGCCAATCACTGCTGGTTTGCCCCCCCCCACGCCGGCTGGGTCGGGTGGACTCCGGGTGGGGGAGGTCGGGGAGGGGGCGATAAAATGGCGCAGGGGGCGGAGTGAGGTGCAGTCGTTCGCCCAGGCTTTGGCCCGGCTTCCGGAGGTGAAGAGCGGGAGAGACGAGGGGCTCGGCGTTACCCGGCCGGGAGGGGGATGGGGGCGCCTGTTGCTTCTCCAAGGGGCTGCGCACGCCGCTGGCCCCTTGGAGGGATTGAGAGGCCCACGCCCTGCTGCGAGAAGGGCGCGTTCTAGCTCCTGAGGTGACGGCGAGGGAATGTCCCTGCCCCCCACCTTCAGGTCGGCGGGCGACAGATGCCCCTCACCCTGCTGAGGAAAAAGGAAGCTCCCTGGTCGTCTGAGAGTCGGGGAGCGCCGTCTGCAGTCTCTACCCAGTGGGGGTGGGGGCCGTGGATGTGTAGGTGGCTGGGGACGCCTCTGCCCCGGCCGGCTCGGCGGGAGGCTGTTGCCGGCGGGAAGCTCGCGAGCTTTTCTGCCGCGTCTCGTGGGTGGGGGCAGAAAGAGGACGACGCTTCCCCTGGGGAAATGTGACGACGGTGGTCCCTGGGAGAGAAGCGCACCGCCCGGGCCTGCTGAGGGGCGAGTTTGCCCCTACTGGGGGAGGGTCAGGGAGAGAGAACCGTCGCTTCTCCCGCCTTCCGCCGGGAGGCGGGAATTCGCGGTGTCCCCAGAGGAGGGAGGGGCAAAGGCCCTCCCTGGAGGGCGACACAGTCCGGGGCTGCATTTGTGAGGGAGAGCTAAGGCAGTATCCTCCAAAAGTTGGGCCTGGGCCACTCTCCCTCCGGGTACTCAAGGGCTGGAAGCGGCGTCACCAGTTACTTCCTTGGCAAGTGGGAAAGCAGTTCGCTGCCTCAGGGTGGGCCCTGGAGAGGTCCTAGAAGTGGTTGAGTTGCCCACCGCCTGCCCTAACCTGATCTCCAATTTTTTGTGTATTTGTTAGGGACTCCAAGCTCTAGCCGACCTGCCTAAAATGTTTTAAAGCACATTTTCTTTTTAAAAAGAAACCTGTTGCTGCAGCTTAGCAAGTCTGTTCTCAGTGTCCATGTGGGAGGAGAATCCTGGCACCCTCATCTAGTGAAATATTACCTAAAGCAAAGATTTGCATCCCTGGGTTGTTTTTTCCGTCCCGCAGTGTTTTTAGTTACCTCGAAGGAATTTGCAAAACTGTTACAGATAATTTCAGTTCATTTTGATTTTTTTGTAAATGTCGTGTATATTTTATGGAGTGATGAAGCCTGCTGAGTGTGTTTTCGTACTGTGTGCTTCACACGTACTGCATTTGGGAAAGGTTGGAAATCAAAGGCCAGGGGGAGGTCTTGTCCACTGGAAATAATCTGTGCCCTTGGCCGTACCTGTCAGATCCTGCTTGGTAATGGTCTTGATTTTAGTGCTTGAAAGAGGATGTGGGTTTGCATCTATTGTTGCAGTTTTAGTGGCCTCAGTAAAATAAGGCTTTGTGCTCGAAGGCAGTAGGTTTTCTGAGGTGAGATAAAAATAGAAAGGGAACCAGTTTCTGGGGTTGCAACCAGGAGGTTCGAGAACAGAGAGAGGGGGTGGTAAACTGAAGTGTGAAGAAGGGGGTGGACAGGTAAGAGAGATGTGGAAGGACAGAATAGGGTCACAGAAAGGATGGGGTGTAGAGGAACTAAGAGATAGAATTAGGAGATCGGAAAAATATTCTTCCCTTAAAAATAAAGGGGTATGGCCGGGCGCGGTGGCTCACGCCTGTAATCCCAGCACTTTGGGAGGCCGAGGCTGGAGGATTGCTTGAGGCCAGGAGTTCAAAACCAGCCTGGCCAACATGGCAAAACCTCATCTCTACTGAAAATACAAAAATTAGTTAAACATTGCAGATGTCTGTAATCCTAGCTATTGGGAGGTTGAGGCACAAGAATCACTTGAACCTGGGGGGGTGGAGGTTGCAGTGAGCCCACATAATGCCACTGCACTCCAGCCTGGGTGACTGAATGAGACCCTGTCTCAAAAATAAAAATATAAAGGAGTCCCCATATTTTAAGTGGAGGTTACCAGGCAAGTACCAAGAAAGGTGGTAGATGGTAGACAGAGATGTAAGTAACACTTCTTTTGACAAGTAAGGCTGTCTTTGGAATTTCACTTAAGAACTTCAATTTTATCTGAGGATTCCCCTCCCCCCCTTTTCACATTCATTAAACATAAGGGTTTTTTTGGTATAGAACTTTTAGGTTTAGACTGCTTTCATGAGCATCCTCTTTTTCCTTATGATAATCTGTGTTTGAAGTTAACAGAATTTAATGGGTATTATCTGTATTGAGGTTCAGAGACTAAGTGAATTGCTAAGGTCCAGTACCTCTATAGAGGGTAGTTCAGTGAACATTAATTTGCAGAATTTGCCTGATGTTTCAGATGTCTGTCTAGGTCTTTGGTGACAATATGGTTGAATGCTGGATCAAACTAGATGAGACTAGCGCATACTAGATAATTTCAAGCAGGGTCTAGGGGAAGTTCCCTACCAGTTTGGCACTCTTTTTTCCTTTTTTCTCCTAAGACTGACTCTTCAAGGGTCAGGGCATTGATGATGGTGGAGTGAAATAATAACTGTGGCCACAGTTATTTGTCTCTTACATTGTGCTTCTAGTATGCTAAATTTATGTTCATGATCTCATTAATTCTTGCCACGACCCTGTCAGGTAGGTACTGTGATATTTGAGACTTCATAGAGTATAAACATTGTCTTTCCCATTGACGTCATAATTTTAAAATGTTTTTATTATTTCAAGCATATAAAAAAATACAGTGGCTGGGTGTGATAGCTCAATGCCTGTAATCCCAGCACTTTGGAAAACAAATGCAGAAGGATTGCTTGAGTCCAGGAGTTCAAGACCAGTCTGGGCAGCATAATGAGACTCTGTCTCTACAAAAAAAGAAAAAAATTAGCCAGGTATCGTGGCATGGTCCTGTAGTCCCAGCTACTCAGGAAGCTGAGATGGACAACTGCTTGGGCCCTGGGGTTCAAGGCTGCAGTAAACTATGATCACACCACTGTGTTCTGCCTGGGCAACAAAACTGAGACCCTATCTCAAAAAAGTAACAATTTTAAAACAGTATAGAAAGTAACCAAATAATAATGAACATTTTAATGCCCACCATCCTGCTTTATCTTAGGTTGCCATATTTGTTCCAGGTCTCTTCATGCTATTTTTTTTCTTTTTCTTGTTTTCCTTATTTATTTGTGGTCATGTGGCCTAAGATGAGATACTGTTTTCTTAAGAAATAAAATATTGGCCGGGCATGGTGGCTCACACCTGTAATCCCAGCACTTTGAGAGGCTGAGGCAGGTGGATCACAAGGTCAGGAGTTCCAAGACCAGTCTGGCCAAGATGGTGAAACCCCATCTCTACTAAAAATACAAAAATTAGCCAGGCCTGGTGGTGCATGCCTGTAATCCCAGCTACTCGGGAGGCTGAGGCAGAGAATTGCTTGAACCTGAGAGGCGGGAGGTTGCAGTGAGCTGAGATCGTGCCTCTGTACTCCAGCCTGGGCCATGGAGCGAGACTCCCGTCTCTTTAAAAAAAGAAATAAAACATTGCAGATGTAAGTATAGTTGCCCATGTGCCTTTGCCATTCCTCTTTTCTCTCCACCACCAAAGGTAACCACTATCCTGAATTTGATATTCCTCATATTCATGCATATTTTAATAATTGTATGATATATGTATCTATACATAATATGTGGTGGTACTGTTTTTTTTGTTTTTTTTTTTTTGAGACAGAGTCTGTCACCCAGGCTGGAGTGTAGTGGTGCAATTTCTGCTCACTACAACCTCCGCTTCCTGGGTTTCAGCAATTCTCCTGCTTCAGCCTTCTGAATAGCTGGGACTACAGGCCTGCACCACCACACCCAGCTAAATTTTCTTTGTATTTTTAGTAGAGATGGGGTTCTGCCATGTTGGTGAGGCTGGTCTTGCTTGAACTCATGGCCTCAAGTGACCTGCCCACCTTGGCCTCCTAAAGCACTGGGATTATAGGTTTGAGCCATCTAGCATATTGTTTCTTTAATAAAATAATTGCAGGGGGAAAAGATCTGAAATCTCTAGATTAAAATACACATAAGACGTTAACAGCCAGTCACACTGTATGGACGTTATTTGGATACTGATTATTTTTTAGCCTTAAAAAAAAGTTATGATATAATATAATTGGAAACCTGAACTATTTTATGATAAGGAATTCTTATTATTTACAGATGAAATGATACGATGCCTGGGATTTGCTTTAAAATAATCCAGTAAAGTGGGAAAGTGGATAGGGCAACATTAGTTATGAGTTGATAGTTGTCGGGGTTGAATGATGGGTGTGTGGGGGTTCATTATACTATTAAGTTACTTATGTATATGTTTTACATTGTTTATAATAAGTACTTTTGAAAATGAGGAAATAACATCAGAAAGAGAACGATTTGTACAAATTAAAATGATCTCTTTCTCTATATACCATATATATGGTATTGTTTTGTATACTTTTGTTCCCAGATCTATTGGAACATAAGAGAAGCTCAGAAAAGCCATTTTTTTTTTTTGCATCTGGATGTCATGTTGTATAGGAATTGATTATTGCAATGGTTATGAAGGATATTGGTCCTATTAAGTTGGCTTAAAATATTTTTTCCAAGAGACCAAAAGCTCTCTTTAGTCTTTACTCTTGCAATTTGTTAGAGATTGTACTGAATTTAGAAGGCCTGAGTTTGGATTCTAGCTCTGCCATTTGCTGACCAATCCTGAGCAAGTCTGTCACAGATGTAGTAGGAAAAAACATTGCCTTTGGAATTAGACTTGGGTTTTGATCCTTGCTCTATCTAACATCATTAGCTATGTGTACTTAGTTAAGTCACTTAATGCTTCTGAACTTTAGTTTCCCAAGA